ATTTTCCTCCACGTTGGTTGGTCATCACTGCTCTGGGTAATGTCTTTTAATGAATTGTTCTTCTGCTGGATGTGGACCCAAAGGACTTCTTATCATGAAGGGCCCCATCCTGAAGACCTTAATAAATCACTCATGGTGCACAGCAGGCCTGTTGTGGGACACGGAGGGGATCTCTCTTCGCTGAATCACTTTCCTGCAGTCCACTAGGCTGGCATCCTTTCTTTTTCCTGGTTGGCCTGTCTGCCCCGACATCTAAACAAATGACCTCTCCCCACTTAACATTAGTGAGAGAAGCAAAGGTCTTTAACCTCAGGGCTCCAAACGCTGACCACCTGGGTCAAGGTTACTCAAGAGGTGACCCAGAGCCCCTGGAAGCTAGTTTAACTGCTGATTCTTGGTCCTGCCCTAGATCTATGAGTGAAAATCTTTGGAGATAAGGCCCTGGAATCTACATTTTTTTTTTTTTAAACAATTCTCAGAGGACATTCTTATGAACATCAAAATCAGACAACTGTCCAAACTCTTTTATCACCTTAGCATCCTGTGTTGATTTATTTTGTTCCTTTTGAAGCACAACGGATGGACGTGTCTTTCCTTTCCAGGGGACTGGCCTGTTCTGTGCTTCCAGCCCCGCTCGAGCTCCCGCCGTTCACTGGAGGGAGCCTGGGGAGTAGGGAGTAGTCCATGTCCAAGTCAGCTGGGGATTTTCCTCAGAGCTTTCCAGAAGCATGACACGCACATCTGAATTATGGCCGCCGTGGAATAGGGGCCCCTTGGTGCAACCGAGCTCAATGTTGAGGGTGGAGTCCAGGGCTTGGAGCAGCTGCTGGGAAGAGCGAGGTGTGGTCAGACAAAACAAGCAGGGCCTGGAAGAGACTGTGGACTTCACTTCCCTAGAGAAGTGGGCAGGAAGTCCAGTCTGGTCCGGGCTGGGGACCTGGGTGATCTCCCCACTCTGGGCTGCCCATACCTTGTGTTTCCCCCTTCTGCCCCATTGTCACCCATCTCAACACCCATGGGCCCATCCGGACAGGTCCCTCCCTTATCCCCTGTCCCCTCCCACTGGGGGTCCAACTCCCTCTCCTCTGAGATGGTTTTACCTGAATCGGCCACACCCATGACAGCTGCTGGGACTTGAAGATGCATCTGGTGGCTCCCTAGCTTGAGAGCCTTGAAGCTATCTTCCCTCACCACTCCAGTTCCCTCTCCTCCTCCCCCACTATTTCACTCCCCCTCTTTGCTCTGGCTGTGTCTCTTTTTTGCCCTTCCTGCCTTAATAGATTGAAACCTACATGTTCCGGCTCCTTGTGGTCCTGGTAAATAGCTCTTAATGTGGCCGTGGTCGATGGGGAGAAGGGGGTGGTGAGTGTGTTGTGTGGCATGGGGGACACTGGCACTTTCCTTCGTCTCCGATGGGAGCAGCAGGTATTCGTGCCTCGTGGGTCATGCTGGTGGGGCGCTAGAGTTTCAGTGGAACCCTCCTGGGAGCTGATAGACCTGGGACGGGCCTGGGTGTCCTCTCTTAATTTGAAAAGGAAGACGATCCATTGAAAGTGTAGGATCGCCTGGCGCATGCTGCCAGCCATGGGCGTCAGGAGCAGCCCTTCTTTGAGGACAGAAATAGACATTTCCATTTGTGCTTAGCAAATAGGATTCAATTAAACAGTTTCTACTTCTTCGATTTTCTTACTAAGCCCCAGAGGCCTGGCAGTTATTATCCTGTTGTTGTTCCTGCAAACAGTAGCCCACGTTGGGGTAAATGACATGACAGAAGAAGTTTAATATTGGCATTTTCAAAGTCGATGGAGAGTGGGGTTGGCCCAGATGAGCCAAGATATCGGGTATTGGTGATCAGTGTGAATTCTCCCTTTCTGTCTTGGGAGATGCTTTCTTATCTCTCTTGCCAAAAACTCTTGTTTGGTGGACCCTAGGGAGATCCTGGAGTGGGTGTGCTTTCTCCTAGAAGGAAGGGGCACTCAGGCCTGCACTGGTTTGCACCCAGGGGGTCTCGTTTCCTTCTGAGTGTAAATGGGAGGCTATGGGACACCTCACCTTTCACTCTTCTCCCTGCTTCCTGGACTGGGTACTCATGGACCTGGGAGATTAGGGGTTTTGGGGGATGGAAGAGATCCCTAGTCCAGGAGGAATACTCTGTCATCTCACAATGTGGGCTGCAGAGTGGGGCCAGGGCCCAGGAAGGGGTCAGCAGCTTTCCTTTCCAGGTGAGAAGGAAGGACAGCTCTTCAGATTCCCAGTAAGTGGTGTGAGGGGTCCATCCTTGTGGGAACCTTCCCTTCCCCCGCCCCTGCCCCTTCCCCACCAAGATCTGAGTGGATGAAAACCTTCTGTCTGTAATACTTTTCTCCTCTGGGAACAGCCAGCAGAGCCTCTGTTTTGTGAGTGTAGCATGGAGTCCGGTTCTTTTTTTTTTGGAGTCCGGTTCTTTGGAAGGACAGGGCATGAGGGGCAGCCTCTCAACTGCATTTTGGCTCTGTTAGGGATGATCCAGGGCTTACCAAGTGGTACAGTGGTAAAGAACCTGCCTGCCAATGCAGGAGACACAAGTTCGTTCCCTGGGTCAGGAAGACCCTCTGGAGGAGGAACTGGCCACCTGCTCTAGTGTTCTTGCCTGGAGAATCGCAGGAGCCTGGCAGGTTTCAGTCCATGAGGTTGCAAAGAGTCGGACACAACTGAGTGACTAAACAATAACAACAACAGGGATGATGCCAGGCGAGTCGGGAGAGGCAACGTGTGCACGGCTGCGTCTCAGTAGCGCTAGGGGCAGGCTGTCAGAGAATCAGACCTTTCTCAGCTGAAACCCCATTTTAGTTCAGACCAGCGCCATCCCCATGAGCCTTCGGCTGTGGCAGCACTCTGGCCCAGTGTCACTTGGGGCCTGCTGCTGGCTGAGGTCCCAAAGCCCCGGGGAGAACTGAAGACAGAGAGATGCTTCTGGAGAGTTACGTGAACGGGCAGTGCCTCCAGCCCCGAGGGGGTGTGTGTGCACGATGGGCCTCATCGAGCATCTCAGCGCTAGGGCTCGGGTGACGTCATTTGGCTGGCCTGTGGTTTGTGTGTGTGTGTGTTGATCAGGATGTTCCTGTTTTGCGGTTGTCTGATCACTTGTTTTTGGCCGTGGGCTTCTGTATGAGTGTTTATTTTTAGAGGTTGCCACTTCTGGCCTGAGGGCTAGTCCTTGGGCATGGTAGGAGCTTGTATTTTCTGCAATGTTTGTGGCTTTAAATTTAAGTACTTATTTTGGGGTATTGCTGCTTTTTTTGTGTGTTTTTTCCTAAGGGTGTGTTTGTGTGTGTGAGATAAAACAGTGTAAAATAATGAAAAAGATGTGTGGTCTTCAAAGTTCTGATTTAATTTACTTTTATTTTAAATTTTAAATTAGTTCTGACTTAAAATCCCAGCGTTACCGGGTACTGCGTCGTTCAGTTGCGTACGACTCTTTGCGACCCCATGGACTGTAGCTGCCAGACTCCTCTGTCCATGGGGATTCTCCAGGCAAGAAAACTGGAGTGGGTTGCCGTGCCCTCCTCCAGGGGATCTTCCTGACCCAGGGATCGAACCCGCATCTCTTACATCTCCTGCACTGGCAGGTGGGCTCTTTACCACTAGCACCACCTGGGAAGCCCTACCAGGCACTGTATGTCTGCAAACACATGGTTTCACCTTTCAGAGTCTCAGTTTCTCCATCTTTAAAATAGGCATAACAGCCTCCACCCACAGGATTAGAAATAATGTATGTATAAATGTAGCAAGGTGTTCCCTGCATGTTAGCTGTTAACATTAGCATTTGTGTGTTTGTATCCACACTCGCTCTTTCTGACTGGGGGTGCCTGTCGGGTGTACTCCACGAGAGCCTGTGTCTGGGTGTTTGATTTGGGTGATTTCTGGTGGGAGAGTGTGCCTCTGGACGTCTTTGTGTCTGGTTTTCTGTGTGTGACTGTTGGTGTCTGGGCTGGAGTCTCTGCTGTGTTTGGGAGGGGGCTTTCTTTTCTTGCCAGTTGAGGGCCTGCCTTGGAGTGGGGGAAGGGGAGGGGTGTGTGTGTGTGGAGGCTGGAAGCTGGGCTGCTGACTGTACAGGGTGTGAAATCAGAGTTCCTCTGGGCGGGGAAGTTCTTCACTCCTGAGTCAGCCCTTTGGCCTCCCGCCACCCAGCGCTCACTTTTTCCTTTCGGAGAAAGTATTGCTCACGGGGCCCCCCAGAGTATCTGCAGACGAAATGACACAGGGGTCACCCCTCCCTGATGAAGACCTCTGCTTTTGTGTTCTCCATCCCTAAGATGTTCCCTCTACTCCTGGCCCCTGAAGCTCCTTTCCAGAACCCCCATGGGCCCTGGCATTCAGAGGGAAACTGTTCTCTCTAACACCCATCCTGCTGGCTTTACTGAGCTCCAGCCTGCCCCAGTCCCTCCGGGTCTTTGGGAAGTGAGTGCAATGCCAGAGTCAGGCTTTGAACTGGGGCGTCTTGCCCCCAGGTCTCCTGACTAATCTGGGGCTCCGCTGCCTGGTCTGACCCTGGGTGCTGGGGAGGCTCTGCTCAGAAGCCCTGGGAAGAGGTCCTTTTGTCGTTTCTGCCACTTTGGCTCTATCTCTGAGGGTTGAGAGGATTCCCTTTGGAGATGCTGAAGGTGGTACACAGTGGGGGAATACCCCTATGAGTATATGTGGGAATACCCTATGTGGGAATCCCCTATGTGGGAATACCCACACAGCCCCCATGTGACCCTCCTACTCCACACAGGAGGGTTTAGCTGGCTACCGGTGGGGGGAGGGACCCCAGCGGGAGGGACCCTGCCCAGCCTGGCCACAGTCAGCGACCGCCTCCCACTATGTCCATGACCCCTGCTGTATGTTCTGCTCTCCATGGATTCCCTTTGGGGATCCAGGAAAGGGAAGCTCTCAGCTGCTTTCCTGGGGAGAATGGAGGATGTCCCACCTCCCACTGACGTCTGCTCTCCGTCTCTCCTCCGGTCCCTCTCTTGTAGAGGTTGTGGGCCATACCCAGGGACCCCTGGACGGGAGCCTGTATGCCAAGGTGAAGAAGAAGGACTCCTTGCACGGCAGCACCGGGGCTGTCAACGCCACGCGGCCCGTGCTGTCAGCCACCCCCAATCACGTGGAGCACACCCTCTCCGTGAGCAGCGACTCGGGCAACTCCACAGCCTCCACCAAGACAGACAAGACCGATGAGCCTGCCCCCGGCCCCGCCAGTGCCCCTGCTGCCCTGAGTCCCGAGGAGAAGCGCGAGCTGGACCGCCTGCTCAGTGGCTTCGGCTTGGAGCGGGAGAAGCAAGGCACCATGTACCACCCTCAGCATCTCCGGTCCCGCCCAGTGGGAGGCCCTGCCGCGCCTTCCTCTGGCCGCCACATCGTCCCGGCCCAGGTTCACGTCAATGGCGGAGCCTTAGCCTCCGAGCGGGAGACGGACATCCTGGACGATGAGCTGCCCAACCAGGATGGGCACAGTGTGGGCAGCATGGGCACCCTGTCCTCCCTGGATGGGGTCACCAACACCAGTGAGGGTGGCTACCCAGAGGCCCTCTCCCCACTGACCAACGGTCTGGACAAGCCCTACCCCATGGAACCTATGGTCAACGGCGGGGGCTACCCCTATGAGTCTGCCAGCCGTGTGGTGCCTGCCCAGGCTGGCCACACAGCCCCCATGAGACCCTCCTACTCCGCACAGGAGGGTTTAGCTGGCTACCAGCGGGAGGGACCCCACCCAGCCTGGCCACAGTCAGCAACCACCTCCCACTATGGCCATGACCCCAACGGTATGTTTCGCTCTCAGTCCTTTCCCGAAACGGAGCCCCAGCTGCCCCCAGCTCCAGCCCGTGGTGGGAGCAGCCGGGAGGCTGTGCAGAGGGGCCTGAATTCCTGGCAGCAGCAGCAGCAGCAGCAGCAGCAGCCTCGCCCACCTCCTCGCCAACAGGAAAGAGCCCACTTGGAGAGCCTCGGGCTCAGCAGGCCCAGCCCCCAGCCACTGGCAGAGCCCCCCGTGTCTGGCCTCCCTGAGTTCCCGCGTGCGGCCTCCCGGCAGGAGATCGAGCAGTCCATCGAGGCCCTCAACATGCTGATGCTCGATCTGGAGCCAGCCACGGCGGGCGCCCCCCTACACAAGTCCCAGAGTGTGCCTGGGGCCTGGCCGGGGGCTTCTCCGCTCTCCTCCCAGCCCTTCTCTGGCTCCTCCTGCCAGTCCCACCCACTGACCCAGTCCAGATCTGGCTACATCCCCAGTGGGCATTCCTTGGGAACCCCTGAGCCAGCCCCCCGGGCCTCCCTGGAGTCCGTTCCCACTGGCAGGCCTTACTCACCTTATGATTATCAGCCATGTCCGACTGGGCCCAACCAGAGTTACCGTCCAAAGAGCCCGGCCACCTCCTCCTCGCCTGCCTTCCTTCCAACCACCCAGAGCTCTCTGGGGCCTCAGCAGCCCCCAGCCTCTCTCCCTGGCCTCACCACTCAGCCTCAGCTCCCACCAAAGGAGGTGACTTCAGACCCATCCCGAACTCCAGAGGAGGAACCACTGAACTTGGAGGGGCTGGTGGCCCACCGGGTGGCAGGTAAGGGCTTCAGGGGCTGTGAGTGCTGGGAGTCCCCTCTTTATTCCCGCCACACCTTCTCTCTTTGGTCTTGGTTGGCTTTGCCGGGGAAGGGGGTGGGGAACAGCCATCATGCAGGCACAGCTCTCATGCATCAGTGAGTGCTACTTTGGCCTGGGGAAGAGGCTTTTAGGAACCTACCTGCCACCACCCATCCCTTCCTGCATTCTGTGCCTGTTAGACTCCAAGCCAGGCCTTGTGGTTCAAAGATCAGTGTCTCAGGAGTTTTCAATCTAGTGAGGAAAGAGGTACACAGACAGATTATTCTAACAGAGTGCAGTGTGTGCCACAACAGAGTTGGGGACCAAAGCCCCAGAGCCTGGGTAAGTAAGGCTTACCTCCTAGGACGATCAGGGAAAGCTTCCTGGAGGTGGTGACTCTGGGATTGGAGTACAGATTTTTCTAGGCAGAGACGAGATGCTCACTGTAGCTACCTGTAGTGGAGAAGGTGGAAGGGAGGCCTCTGTGGACTCCAGTTCCTTTTTGGGCCCTCCCAGAGGCATAACTATGTCTGAGAGGGTGCCCCAAAGTCCTTGGACTCTATCTGAGTGTTTAACCCTAGTGGGTCCTCTCAGGATATTTATGTCTCCAGGGAGGCCAGGATCCCCCTTCTTGTTCAGCTATCCTTCTAGTCCTTGCTTTAGGACCAGCTCTGTATTGGAAGCAGGCACTGAGAAACAGCTGTCTTTCCTACCAGAGAATGGACTTATCTTTCTGGAGAGAGGAGAGAGAGTGGTGCAACCAGACAGGTTTACTGGGGAATAAAGAGGCAAGAAATGGCAGAGTGTCCAGGCCATGTTGCAAGGAACAGAAAGGACTCCCTACCTTCACTTTGGCCTAAGCCTATAACCATTCCAAGGAGATAGCTAAACTGAGTGGGAAATCCTATGAGCTGGCTTTGTCATAGGGGTGAAGCCCAGGCAGGGGTGGACCAGAGCCTGGAGTGAGGGGAACCTTGTGCCAAGCCCCTCAGATAGGGTGGTGGGAGGTCAGAAGAGGAGCCTGGGCAGCTGATTCTGCCTTCTGTTCCTTTTCCTAAATTTAGGGGAAGCTGAGTCAGCATGCCAGCTGCAAGGAGGGAGACGCCCTTCTTGGGGATGGGCAGTGGGTTTAGGAAGGGAGCTGGGGCCAGGCCAGTTGCCTTTTGGGCTGAGTCCAGGATATGGGGGCAGGGATGCCCTGCTTCTGTACTTCAGAGCAGAACATAGCCCCCAGTTCAACTATGGGTAACTTGAAATTGGCCATAATGGCAGTATTCACACTATAGAAATTGGCAATCAAGGGCTTCACCTTCTCTGGACATCTGGTCTAGCAACACATCATCAGCTTTATCCAAGGGCCAAAGGATAAGATGAGTAGCTCTATAACCCGAGAGGCAAAATGCTCCATGGGGTGGTCCCCAAGGGACCGCCATCTTCTATTTTTGTCCATGTCTGGGCCAGTAAGATAAGGAATACTTGGTTTGTTAGTAGAAACCATTTTCTTCCTGGTTTTGTTGAAGGGAAAGGAATGGGCTCTCTCAATATTTTACAGAGTTGGGGTGGTGGCCTGAGGAATAGTGACACGCTAGTCTAGTGATTCTAATGATGGGCAGTATCCAAAGAAATTTACCCTGACTCTGTGACTGGACTGTTCTCAGGTGTCTCTAGAGGTAGAGATTTCAATGCATTTTGGAAATCAGATGTGGATCTTATCCTTAAAGAGTCTAGAGTTTAGTAAGGGGGGAAAAAAGAACTAGAACTTTGAAATGAAGTTATTTTTAATAAGAGAAGAGAAGTATGAAGTATCTAAAGAGGGTAGGATGAATTTCCTTCCCCTCCCAGAACCCTTCTGTGTAGCTCAAGAGGAAGCCATACTTTAATGGCCTCAGAAAGATGTCCATCTTACAGTGGCTCTCCGCTCAGCCTTCTCTCTCCTACAAGTTTAAAGGTCTTGTCTGTCAAGCTCCATATCCTGTAGCTGCTCAGGTTTTGGCTGCCAAGAAGTCATAGGGATGGAGGGATATTATTGGTACAGTATCTGTGTCCCCCAACCCTGCTGTCATCTCCTCCACCAGCTCTGGGTGACTCCATCAGGAAAAGGGCTAAGATGTGTAGAAGGGACAGTTATATTTGGTCTCTAGGGCTTCAAAAGGTCTCTTTGGTCTGTGCCCTGTCATCACCAGTATTTCTTAGGTCAGCAGATTTTGCTTGCACAACTTCTTCAGTGGCCCTTCAGGATATCTGCAGTGCTTGTGTAGATAAAGATGCACCAGCAGGATTAATTTGTAAAACAGTCTAGGAGCCAAGGGATAGACTTTCAGCACTACCTCTTCTCATTCTGTATTCTTCTGCAAGGAGCTGGAATATAAGCTTCCACATGAGTAACTTAGGAAGCTCAGATCTGAGGAGAACCTCCATATGGTCATGAATATGATCTAGTTTCTTCTGGCTTTTCACCCTCAGGTCTGCCTTTTCCTCCTTGGCTGTCCTCTGTATTTCAATTCTGTGTCCTTGGTTTATGCCACTTTGATCCAGCTACTACTTATGTCTTATTTCAGCTTAGCTCTCAGAGAATTTTAGAGTATTCTTAACTTGATAAAGAGTAGATACCAGAAACCTGTAGCACATATCACACTTCCTTGTGCAACATTAGAAGCAGTCCCATTACACCAGGGGTAAAATAAAGATGATTGTTATCACTGCTATCATCTAACATTGTATTGGATATCCTAGCCAGTGCAATAAGACACGAAAAAGAAATAAGAGTCAGAGTTGTTGAGTCCAACAGGTTTTCATATGATCCTGATTCTGGGCCTGGACTGATCTCAGGTATCCCTAAAAGTAGAGATTTCAATGCATGTTGCGAATGTGGATCTTATCCCTAAGGAGTCTAGAGTTTAGTAAGGGGAAGAAGAACTAGAACTTTAAAATAAAGTTATTTGTAATAAGAGAAATATGAAGAAAAGTTCTGTGGGAATGAAGACAAAGAAAGATCACTATCAGCTAGAGAGACTGGGGAGGGCCTGTGTTGTGTATATATTTTAAACAGAAGCTTAGAAGATAGGATTTTGAAATGGGTGAGATTACTGGAAAAGGAAGGCTCATAATGAAGCTAGGAGGGCATAGGATGTGTTTGAAGAATGGAGTGGATTGAGAGCCAAATAGGCTGTGTAATAGAGAGTCAAGAAAGGCTTGGAGCTTGGGGCTTGCATCTGGTTGGTTTTAAATGTCAGACGGAGAAGCTGGAATCTTAGCTAGTGGAAGTGAAGGAAGCCATTACTGTGTTTTAGGAAAGGATGCCATGATCAGAGCTGTAGTTTAGGAAGATGTATCTGGTGGGTCTGGGGAGGAAGGATACAAAAGGGGAGAGACTTTGAGCTGGTAGATGCTAGGAGCTTATTGGCTGACCTAGGTGATGGGGACTGAATTAGGGTGCTGACCTTGGAAATGAAAAAGAAGAGATGGGGGCAGGGATGCTGTGGTGGGATGAGAACTAATGCATTTACAAGTTGATTGGATGTAGTAAGTGAAGAGGAGGGGGATATCAAAGATAATTCTGAGGCTCCATAAATAGAAACAGAATGATTATTCTGTTAACAAGCCAGAAGTTAAGAGGAGGAGCAGTTTGGTGTAAGATGAAGATCTCAGTATTGGTTATGTTGAATTTGAGTAACAGTCGAGGCTCCAGATAGAGATGTATGGAAGGCAATTGGACATCTGGAATTGGACCTGAAGAGCGGAAGGAGCTATAGACTGGGGAGTCATCCTCACAAAGATAAAGGTTAAAGCTTTGGGCGTGGATGAAATCTCTATATATCAGAAGGCATGGAGAGAAAAGAACTTAGAATGAAATGGCTGTGTGGGAATGGAAGCCATGCAGGGCCTTGAGAGCGAATGTTCAGGGCAGCGAGAAGACCCCGAGACAGTGGGTCATCATAGAAGTCAGAATAGTAAAGGGTTCCCAGGAGGTTAGCAATGTCACTGTGGCATGATCATGAAAAGGAAGACTCAGGAAAATTCACTGGGCTTGCCAATTAGGTGGCCTCGGGGTTTTTCAAAGGCATATTTTCAGTAGAGTGGTGGTGACAAAAGCCAGACTTAGGGATTGAGGAGTGAGAGATGAGAGAGTGCAGATAGTGCATCATCTATCTTTTTGAAAGGTTTTGTGATAAAAGGGAAGAGGGTGGCAGCTAAAGAGGGTAGCAAGATACCGAGAACTTCTTTGTGTGAATATAGGAGCCAGGAGAGTTTTTAGAGGCGGAAGAGAGAGAGATTGAGTATGGAGGGAAGAGTGAGAAGAGAAAGATACAAGAGAGTGAGAAAGAAACTGATAGAACAGGTCTCTTTGGAGGTAAAGAGGGGGTAGGCTTAGGAGTAGATACCTGGGTAGATAATTTAGGCTCAACCAGGAGGTAAGGTAGGGGTTTCCCAGGTGGCACAATTGGTAAAGAATCCACCTGCCAATGCAGGAGATGCAAGAGATGCAGGTTTGATCTCTAGGTCAGGAAGATTGTCTGGAGTAGGAAATGGCAACCCACTCCAGTATCCTTGCCTAGAGAATTCCGTGGACAGAGGAGCCTGGCAAGCTACAGCCCATGGGATTGAAAAGTGTCAGATACAATTGAGCATACATCTGAGCTGAGGAGGTAAGGTACCTCTTCATGAAATAAGAATAGAGAATGGATACAGATATAGTGAAATATTGGTGTCAACTTTTGAGAGCTTGAATTAAGAACTCAGTTTTTATATTTCATAATGGAAAAAGGAGACGAGATCAAGGCCCATTCTGTCATTCATTCAACATGTGCTCCTTGTCTATGCTACATGTTAGCCTAGGCTCTGGAGAAATGGTGGTAAACAAAAAAGATAAAGTTTTATTTTTTTAAGAGATGGAAATGGACAATAAACCAATAAGCAAATACACGTATTATTTGTCAGATGGGTGATAAGTGCCATAGCAGTGAAATGCCAGTGAAGTGCAGTGAAATGCCAGTGAAGGGTAAAGGGTGGTGGTGGGGTAGTTGGATGGTCAGGGAAAAAACTTTGTTGGGTAGGGAGGGAATGTGCCAGAGGAAATAGCAAGTGCAAAGCTTCCTAAGAGAAGGAAAAGTCAAGGTTTCTGGCTTGAGCAACTAAAGGATGGAGTTGCTCTTCTTTCAGATGGAGAAGAACGTGGGAAGAGCAGTCTTCGAGGTGATATCAGAAGTGTGATTTTGGCCATGTTACATTTGAGATGCCCATGAAGTGTTTAAGATGGTTCAGAGTTTAGGGGGGGAGAGATTGGAGCTTAGGAATGTGGGAGATATCAGTCTATGATGTCATGTGAAGTAAGAAACTGCATGATCTTACCAAGGGGGTGAGCACAGACAGAGAGGAGGTCCTGGGATTGAGTTTTGGAGCCTTGAAACATGAGGAGGAACCAGTTAAAAAAAAAAGAAAAAACTGATATGGAGCAGCTTTTCAAGTAGAGAATACTCAAAAGGTATGGCTCTCTGGAAGCCAGACAGAAGTGATACTGGCCATTGTGCAACCCCTGGGGTGTGAGATGGATTGGAGTCAGCTGGGTGGAAGAAAAAGACATCACAGGTCCTTACAGCGCATCCAGGCAGGCTCATCTTAAGGACTTTTCAGTGGTGCCCAGCAGTTTGGGGCAGGAGTTGAAGTGGCTCCTAAGTGGCTCCCTGGAAGAAGATTACTAAGGAGGGTGTGATGGAAGAATAAAGGGCCGAGGAATGCCCTGATGCTTGGGGAGATGACCCTTGGACTGAGACTGGTGGGGTCACTGCTGAATCCAGGGGGAGGGAGATGACCATGAGAGGAGAGAGGTCCTGGAATGGGGACATGCTGACCATGAGGGTGGATGAGATGTGGAGCCAAAGGATTGAAATCTCCTGGTCCCAGGCTGGCACCTTCCTGCTCCACGCTGGGGTTAGGAAAGACAGAGGTGAGTGGTGTCCTACTGGACCGCAGAACGTCCACCTGTCCTTTGGAGAAGTGAGACCCCGGATCCACCTTCTCTTCTTGTCTGACACCCTGCCCACCTCCCTCAAGTGTGTGGCCAGGTTCTAGACTCAGAACACCAACTAATATTGATTTTTTTCTTTGTTTTTGTTTTGTTTTCGTCTTGTGAAATGCCTGGTCCCTGGCGTTCTTCGTGTGTCCCGTGTCCATCTGTCCCCTGCGCCTGGGCGTGTTTCCTTCCTTGCCTGGTGTCCTCCTCTTCCCGCCTCCCTCGCTCCCCCCCCTCACCCCACGCTGCTTGCCTCACCCCTGCCGGCTCCCTGGGGTGGGGGTGGGCAGCGTACAATGCCAGGCTGCAGGGCACTGGGCGGAGAGTCGGCTCCTGGCACCCTCCTCTCCACCGGCTCCGATCTTCCTCTCTCTCTGGTTGGTTCCTCTCCCCCTCCCCTCCTTTTATGACTCACCCTAGCTCCCCTTTTCTCTCTCCTCTCTTCCAAACTTTGCCCACTTTCTTCCACCTCCTCATTTCCCATCTCCTCCTCGTGTTCCCTCCTTTCCCTCTTCTATTCTCTCCTTTCCATCTCTTTCTTCTCTTTGCCTCCGCTTCTTTTCTTGCTCTGTCCTTGCTCCCTTCTGCCTCCCTCCTCTCTGCATGAGCGAGTGCTCCCAGTTTCTGCATGGACACGGCCTGATGCTTCCAGCCTTGGCCTTCCCTGCTGAGAACAGGGTCTGGGGTGACTGGACCAACTTTTGGGCTCCTTGTGGGCATGCAGGTCTTTGCAACAAAGGCGCTCAGTGAGGGTTTGGGACAGCCCAGCTCTCCAGCTGCCTTGGCTCTTAGATCACCCGGGCTGTCCTGGCCAGAGCCTTGGCAGGAGCCAGGCCATGCTCAGCATGGACCAGCGGGCACAAGACGCAGAGTGGTGCCCTGGCACCTGCTGCTCTGTCCATTCTGGAGTGGGGCAGGGCACCCCCCTCTGACTCATCCTGAATCTCTGATCCCAGGACCCATGGCCAAGAGTTAGAAGCCCCGGGTGCGGTCCTGGCTCTGCCTGTGACTACCTCTGTGACACTCCCGGGCAAGTCTCTGAATTGCTCAGAGCTCACTCTTGCAGCGTGACAAATGAAGGATTGTAGCCTGGCCATGTGCCTTTAGCTTAGTGACTTGATGTACTCCAATATGGTGGCCCTTCCATCCAGAGTCACGCTGCTCTATTTTAGAATGATGTGGTCCACTGGCATCCTCTGCCCCAGCTGGACATCTAAGCCCTTAGGCTTTTAGCTCTGGGGAGGGAATCCCCTCATCCCATCCCAGCTCCTTGGAAGCCAGAAGTCCAGGTCAGGGAGAAGATTGTGTGCACGGGTTTACCCCATGCAGTGGCCTTAAGCAGCTCTGGGAAAAGGCTTAGCGGGTGGAGGGAGCTGTTGACTCCCAGGGGCAATATCTGGTGCTTTCAGGGCCCTCCTTCTCCCAGTCCATGTACTATAGGGAGATGGCTGTAGCAGAATGGCTCCCTGTTCGCCTCCTCTCCTGTCCCTCCATCTTCTTTTCGGCCCAGTGGTGGGGAGTGCAGTGTCCAGCTGGGCCTGGGGTTTGGGGCAGTTCTGGGGGTGGGCCTGTCCTGAGGGGAGCTGGCATGGCTTGCCCTGGGGCTGTTAGCTAGTGTGATTGCCGTGTGGCTTTCTGGTGCCCTGGCCCCAGCAGGTGGCCTCCCGGATACCCCCGCTTCCGGAGCCCCAGGCAAGCAGTCGGACACCCAGCCCTGCCACCTGGAGCTGAGGAATCCAGTCTTTTGGAAAATGGAAGGCTGGAGAGAAGAGCTGGGTCTGTGAGGGTGGAAGCGGCCAGTCCGGGGGTTGTAGTGGAGGCATGTGATGAAGCTGGCACAAGGACATTTGTCCATGGATGCTGGGGTGGTGGGCAGCCATGCTGTATCTATGATTCAATCACACACATCAATGTGTGTTGATATGTGTTAGGGTGACAGCCTCTAGAGTTGTGTGTGTGTGTGTGTGTGTGTGTGTGTGTGTGCGTGAGATGAAGGAGATTTTTGACCTCAGGTCCAGGCCACTTTAGGGGAGCCTTGGAGCCGGCTGTCCCCTAAGCACAGCACCATCCTGGGGGAGCAATTGAGGGCCCCGGGAGATGGGGCTGCTCCAGTGCCCCGTGCCCCGCTCTGCAGGTCTGATGGCCAAGGCGGAGGCCCCGGGCTGAGTTGACCGCTGTCCTCCAGGAGGTGGGGAAGGCCCAGAGCGTGTGAGCAGCTCTTGGAGGACGACAGACGTCTTCTTGTGTAGTGTGTTACTATCCTAAAGGCCGCTTTCTGGCTGCTCCTTTGTGCTGCTGGGCTTAGAAGGCTGGATTCACCAGCTTTGCTGGGAAGACTTTGCAGAGTCCCTGGGCTGCCTGTCTTCCCTGCACTTTCTTCATAAACTTCCTGTGGTCCCCGGTCTCCTGCTGAGGAACGGCTGACTGTGGAGGTTCTGAGGATGACTGTGACCCACCGCTGTTCCTGCCAGGCTTAGGCTGTGTGTGCCCACGTGTGTGTGTGTGTGTGTGTGTGTGTGTGTGTGTGTGTGCGTGCGCGCATGCACATGCCTGTGTGTATGCGGGGAGTAGGGCACTACTGAGAATGGGGGCGGGGCCAGGAGACAGAAAGTCCTGGGGTGGGGGGGGGGGGGTGTGCTGGGCGGAGAGGAGGTTGGTGGGAGAGAGTGGGGCTATTTTTATTGTCCGTCCATCTCTGGGACGTGAGAGAGGGGTGTTCTCCCTCTGACACAGGCTGTCAGCTTGTGTCCAGACGTCCCAGCTTGGCTGAGGAACAATGGGGCTCTCTTCTCTCCCCTCTGCTATGGCCCGTCTCCCCTCCTGTAGAGAGGGACAAGAGAGAGGGAATATGGCTCTCCTGGCACTCGGGGGGCAGATCTGGGCCTGCCAAGGCGGACAACAGTGGGACACTGTGTTCAGAGAATGGCCCGGGGCTGGCCACTGGGGCTGCGGGGGGCGCTCCGTGGGAGAGGGTCTGTCCCCGTGGGAGTGGAATGCGGGGCTTCCCTCTTCTGCAGGGGGGGCTGTGCCCTGCAGGACCCTATGCTTTGGATGGCAGCCTGTCCATCCCCCTGCCTCCAGACAGAGCTGGGCCCACTCTGGTGGTGGTGGAGAGGGGGCTTGAAGAAGAGGTGTGATTGCTCTCAAGTGTCTGACTGCCTTGGGCTAGACCTCACACCCTCCATGGCTTGGAAGCTTCCCCTCCCCACAACGGTCTAGCCTCCTCTCTGGGCCACTGCAACCCTCTGCAGCCCATGAACGTGGAGCTCATGTTCTGAGTGCATCCGAGAGAATGTTCTGTGTCCCTCCAGGAGAGTCAGGGCCCTGAGTTAAAGCAGACCCGTTTTTCAAGGGCAGACATTGGATCCCCAAACAAGGACATCAGCCGCCCCTTGCAAAGACACGGGCTTTGGCCGAGGGAGGCAGCAGGTCTGGGTGAGCAGGAACTCGGTGCAGCCCTAATGCATTTCTTTTAACCTTGGGGCTGAACTTAGTTCCAACCCCCTGGGAGCCTTTTCCGAATGCGCCTCCTTTGTCACAATTATTATTAGAAAATCAATGGCTATGTCTGTTTCTCTCTAATGTTTTTGCCAGGAATGAAACCAGCGGCAGCTCTGGACCAAGCTGCCCGGGGAGGCTTGAGGGGGAAGGGGGCTTGGTGGAGGTGGGGGAAGTTTGAGCGAGAGTAGGGGACCCCCCGTTCCCGATTCTCTGAGGGCTGAGAGCCTGGGATTGCCCTAGGGTCCCTGAGCGGGCCCTGCCCAGCTCTTCAGAGGTGTGCCCTGTCCTCCATCTGGGTTGATCCTCATAGCAGCCCCTGGTTAGGACGGTGCTACCCCTACTTTTCTCTTCTGCAAATAAGGGTCCTTTGAGGCAAGGGGCGTATTTGTTTTAAGTAAGGCGGTTTGTGAGTCCGGTTTATAGTCTTCACTCGGGGCTCTTTTTTCTCTTGGTTGAGCTGGTAGGCAGGTTGCCTCTGATGGAATGAAGAGCTGGCAGTGGAAACTCAGGATACCACCCCAACCAGGGACCTTCTGCATCTGCAAGTGCTTTCCAGACAAGGCTCCTAATTATGGGCTGGTCTGAGTGCACGTCTTGGAGTGACTGTGTGTGGGTTTGTGTATGTGTGAGAGTGTGTGCATCCATTCCTAGACTTGGCAGCTGGCAGCCTGGTGTTCATGACAAGTATGTAGGCTTCTCAGCTTGTGCTTCTCATAGTGGCCTCAGTGGTGGTGCCAGGCGGGAGCTAGGGATTCTTGGGGCCATGCAGACCCCGCTGTGAAGGGTAAATGACAATTCAGTCTGATTGAGGGTGATTTCTGCTTGGCTGTGCTGGCTTGTTGCTGAGGCTGTCTGGTGTGTGTGTGCGTGTGTGTACCTTGGGGTGGTCGGTCAGCCCACAAGCACTGGCCTGAGGCTGGTGTGGACAGGGTCTCATGAAACCTTTGATAAGTCCTAGCACCTCTCTTCACCTCGCCTGCCCTCTCGGGTGGTGGCGAAGGCAGGGCTGGAATTTCCTTCTGCAGGGTAGTGAGGATGAGGGGCCCGCCCGCAGGCTGGGTCATGGCCTCTGGGCCCCAAGGGAGTAAGTTTTCTAGGATTCTGGAGCCAGCTCAATGAGGCAATGGGTTTCGTGCGGCAGCCCAGCTGTGGGAAGAGGGAGTGGGAAGGGAGGAGGGTGAGGTTAAGGCCTGGGGAATGGGAGGGAAGTACACAAAAGCACAGGAGGCACTTGTCTGCAGGCTCTTTGCCTGCTGCTCTGGGGCAGCCTGGAAACCTGGGCCATCTTTGGGGCAAGAAAAGTGTGGGCATACAGGAAGTGGGTGGGAGGTTTCAGAGTGGCGCTGGATGGATGAGGGCTGGGAAGCCCCAGAGAAGGCCAGCAGTATTCCAGGGGCCAGATGGGGCTGGGACATCGTGACAGGTCTTAGTCATTTCTTGGGTTTCTTCTCGGGAGCACCATTTGCAAGCTGATGCGTCATTCAGTCTTTCCAAGTCCTTCCCCACGGGCCTGGTGTTGCTTGTTGGTTGATGCAGTCGCCTTGGAGACTGTCTCTCCTCCCTCCACCTTCCCTCCTTTGCCTGGAAGCTCTGGCCCTCTGCCTCTGGGGCTTGGAAGAAGTTGACATCTGTTTCTTGTATCAGTTCTTTGTGCTCTGGGCCCCAGCCCTGTGCAGAGTAGAGATTCCTGCTGAAGGCCAGCTCAACCTAAGCAGATTCCCCCACCCAGTAGAGAAACTGGGGTGTGGGCAGAGGGAGCCTGGAGGGAGGAGGTGTGAGGGGAGGCAAGCCCAGCTCCAGCTTGGCCCCCTGAGCTAAGAGTCACTGCCTCCTCTAGGGGAGTTAGGTCGGATTAATTCTTTTCCCCCACGTTTTGCTCATTGCCCTCTCTGCCCTGCTATCTCTCCCAGGGGTGCAGGCTCGGGAGAAGCAGCCTGCAGAGCCCCCAGCACCTCTCCGGAAGCGGGCTGCCAGCGATGGGCAGTACGAGAACCAGTCACCAGAACCCACATCCCCCCGTAGCCCCGGGGTTCGCTCGCCTGTCCAATGTGTCTCCCCAGAGCTGGCTCTTACTATCGCTCTCAATCCTGGAGGGCGGCCCAAAGAGGTGAGTCCTGGGGCCACAGAGGGTAGCGGAGCCCACCTGAACTACTGAGGGACTTGACGGTCATCTGAGTAACTGTGACCTGTCAGTAAACTCAGTATTTTTTCCCTCCCTGCCTCCTCAGCTTAGGGCCTCTCTATGGCTTGTGGAATCTGGAGCCAATTTCCCTCTCTAAATAGCTTTTATTCCCCTACTTCTTCCATGAACACTGAGACTGAGGTTCCCTTCTTGAGCCCCAGAGAGCATCCTTTATTAGGGTGTTAAGGACCCTGGTGTGATGTAGGTGACCACAGACTCTAGACTCCAGCCAGATCCTACAGACTAACTGTTTTTGAACCCTTTCTGGATGTAGGGTTTCCTTGGGAGATAGATAATTTCAGTGTCCAAGTGTTTGTATTTTTGAGACAGTTTAGCAGTTTGAGGAAGTAGGTTTTAAACTTTAGTGAGCATAACAATCACCAGGGAGTTTGTTAAAAATGTAGATTCTCAAGTCCCCCTGTAGAAATTCTAGCCTATTAGACTTGGGGTGGGACCCAGGAATCTGATTCTGGAAGATTCTGATGTGAGTGGTCCATATTTGGTAAAATCCCAGGTTAATGGGTCCTTCTGGACAAAAATGGCTTTTGGACGTCTTTTCTCTCCTGCCTTCTGTCCCTTCTCTTTGGTCCTGTTGTGAAACATTTCCAGGACAGGTACTGCTGGACGATTGCCTTGCAATGTCAGTTTCTGTTCTCTCGGCTGCAAGGAGTTGTTGGGGCCACAGGTGACGAGGATCTGCCTTTGACCTCTGTGTTTACTGGAAAGGATGACTGGTTAGGCCGGTAACTGGTAACACCTCCCCAGGCTCACAACTGTGGTTTTCCTCCCTTGTTCTCCTTCTGCAGCCCCATCTGCACAGCTACAAGGAGGCCTTCGAGGAGATGGAGGGAACCTCTCCAACCAGCCCACCACCCAGTGGGGGTAAGAACTTCACACTCAGCCTTCCTTCCCTGGGTGCCCTCTGGCCTGTGTAAGCTTCCCAGGTTTGGCAGTGCTGGCAGAGTTGGGTGGGGCCAGAATCTGCCGCTTCTCATCCCTACGGCTCATCTTCCTTCTGCTTCCCTTCCTCACCTCCCTTCACTTCTTTTCTGCTGTCCACGCTCACACATCTAAGATGTAGCAGCTGCATCCTGGGATCCAGGCTGACCTACTCTGGGGTCCCTGGACTCCCATATTATGGTTTGCTAGTTGCTAAGAGTCTTTGTATCCTATGTGTAAAACATCCCTCATCCTAAAGTAATATCCTAAAATAACCCATGGACCTTCTTGCTTCTGACTCCCATTTCTGTCTGCATCCAGGCACCTCTTCCACTTCTTAGTTTTCACCAAGGAAAGAAAGGCTCGGAACCCTCAGGCTGACCATATGCCCAACGCATCCATCTCTTGGCCTCCAGACAGGAGCCTTTAGTCTGTGTCTTACTTGATGTTCTTACTAGAGTGGCAGGTCCCTGAAGGGCAGAGACATTTCCAAACAATGAGAAAACCTGGATGAGCCCAGGAGAGAGGAAGTGTTCCATTTCATGGTAGAAGAGACATGAAGAGGAATTGGAGGAGACCTGGGAAAGCAGTGACGGATCAATCCCAGGCTGTGAAGGCCTCGGGGTTCCTGTAAGAGGCCTGAGTTGGCAGAGGTGAAGAGACTAGTGATGCTCCAGGATTAGATCAGGAGGGTTCTTTACCACTAGTGCCACCTGGGAAGGCCATCTTGGACACACAGGAAGCTACATTTGTGAGTGGACTGTCCAGCATACATTTGTGAGTGGACTGTCCAGCAGAAAAATAACATGAGCTGTTTGCACTAGAAACTTTTCTAACAGCTCCATTAAAGAACATGCAGGAAATGGGAGAAATTAATTGTAATGATTTTTTAATTTAACTCAAAATATCCACAAAGTATTATCATTTCTATAGGTAAGTAGAAATAAAATGATTAATGAGAATATTATCCTACAATCTTTTTACGAAATCTAAAAAGGAGTTGGTGAAATTCATTCTAATAATAGGTATTATTTAGGGAATTTCTTGGTGGTCCAGTGTTTAGGACTCTGTGATTTCACTATCGAGGGCCTGGGTTCAATCCGTGATCCGGGAACTAAGATTCCCACAAGCCTCACAGTGCGGCCCCCAAAAAAAATTTTGCTGTATTAGCCCTAAGGATCTGAAGTATGATTTCAACATGTAATCAATATAAAGACATATTTTTCATTCTTGTTTCATACAAGTCTGAAATCCACTGTGTGTTTTCACACTCATATGACACCTCGGTTCAGACTGGACACACAGCAGGTGCACCATAGCCCCGTGTGGTTCATGACTACTGTATTGGACTGTGAAAGCCCAGGGCAGTCTGTTCAAGACAGCTCTCTAGCCTTATAAAAGGCTTCAGCTCCTGGAATCTCTCTCCCTGGTCTTAACTCCCCAACCTGCATGTGCATGCGTGTGTGCCTGCTCAGTCGTGTCTGACTCTTTGTGACCCCCTGGACTGTTGCCCACCAGGCTCCTCTGTCCATGGGATTCTCTAGGCAAGAATACTGGAGTGGGTTGCCATTTCCCCCTCCTGGGGGTTTTCCCGACCCAGGGATTGAACCTGCATCTCCTGCATTGGCAGGTGGATTCTTTTACCACTGAGCCGTCTGGGAAGCTCCCCACCCCACCACCTTCACGCTTGCTCCAATTTCCTGTGGGTCCAAACAGCCAGGATCCTGGCCATCACCCTGCCTGGGATGAAGCCGTCTGGGCTGGGCTAGAGTTGGTTCTACCACTTGTTTCTGTTCCCATTCTTCTCTCCCTCCCGTGGGTCAGCCCTGGGTGCCTGGGGAGGAAAGAATAAGTTAGAGGTTTCCTCCAGGCACAGGGTTGGGAGAGAAAACAGAGGCGGAGCAATGCAAGGAATTCTTCTCTGGGGAAGCCACGCCTTGCCTGGCTTCAGGGCCACCCCCACGTCTGCCTCAGCAGAAGGGCTGGATGCCTGGGTACTGAGGGCAGGAGAGATGAGGAAGCTGGAGGTGCTGAGGGAAGCCCGGAGGAGCCTCCCACCGCCTCTGTCCCCTCGTCCCCTTCACCCCGTTCACCTGCAGCTCTGCTGCACCCACTAGGCAGACTTACGGGCCCAGAGTCTTCGTGGTCATCCCACGGGCAGTGGTCTCTGAGGCTGGGCTCATTCTTCCATAGTTAATTGCATTCAAAGTCATTTGTCTGACAAACATTACTAAGTGCCTGATAAGCGTCTATTGTAAGATGTGTGTGTGTAATTAGAGAAAGAGGGACACATAGAAACATGCAGGCCAGACCTACCCCCTGCCTGGATGTGTGTGTTTGTACACACTTGTCCCCTCTGCTACATCTGTCTGTTGGGTATCTCGGACAGAGTAAGGATAGAGTATAGGGCTGGGCCAATCATCTGGACTCCTGTGATGCCTCTCTGTTCCCATGGACACCTGTGGATACACCAGCATGTGCACAAATGTGTGTGTGTGTGCCTAGTCGCTCAGTTGTGTTCGACTCTTTGTGCCCACGTGGACTGTAGCCCACCAGGCTCCTCTGTTCATGGGGATTCTCCAGGCAAGAATACTGGAGTGGGTTGCCGTGCCCTCCTCCAGGCGATCACAAATAAGCTATTAAAATTACTTTCATTGGAAGATTATATTTTGGGAGTTTAGTTTCCTGAAGGTCTCACTGTCTTTTTGGGAAAGGGAGGAGATGCCAGGGAGGGTCCCGGAGCTGCTGTGTGGCTCCTGGGCACCCCGAGGGCCACGGCTCATCTATTGAGGCCACTGGGTGGGGCAGGCAGCCTTAGGCTTTTGGCGGCCCTGTGTGACTGCCTGTCCTCCACGGCTGTGGGTTCTGCAGGGTCCTGAGAGCTGCGACAAGAGACACGGAGCTCCTTTCTTTCCTTCTCCTCAGAGGTGGGTTAGGAGACGTGGCAGCTGCCACTGAGAAATCTTGTGACTGGGCAGAGCAACAACCTTGCAGCTCAGCGCGGAGTCCAGCCACGTCCTTGGCTGATGGGAGAAAGCCTGACCGCCCTTTCTGACCTGTGTGTTATGTGACACTTCCAGCGCAGACAGGTGGCTTGGGAGGTGACCTGGGTTTGTGCAGGGTGGTCATGCTCTTGCCCATGTATTTTAGAGATGGGGCTTTTTCCTCTTCCAGAACACTGAGGTTTGGGGGAAGTAAGAGAGCTCCCAGCTGAGAAATTCTCTCTTCCTGGGGCTTGCAAAGGGCCTGCTTGGCTGGAGGTCAAAGACCTGTGGCTGAGGACTGGCCTGGGGACTCAGGGTCGGTTCTGCTGGTGGTCCCTTCTCCTTCTGTCCTTTACAGATTGTGCCATCTTGATATTCCTCTTTCTTTAAGTCCATCTGTGGGGTGTGTGTGTGTGTGTGTGTTTGGGGGTGGGGTGGGGAATGTGAGAGGAGAGGTTAGAGAGAGAATGATATAGAGCGAGTCAGAGGGTGCCCAAGAAACTAGCGTATGTGTTATAACTCCACAGTGTGGAGGGACCGTATGGAGGAAACTCAGGGTCTAGGGATAGAAATGACTTTGTGGAGGTTGAGGGGCAAGGCTGTTTCCTGACTCCTCTTACCCTTCATCCTGTGGAGGAACACAGGAGACGGGACGGGGGAGTGGAGCCGCCCCGGCACCGCCAGGGCGGGGCTGGTTCCTCTGCTCCACCTCCTGCTGCCCCCCGAGCCCCGCTCCCCCGCATGCCCTCACTCAGGAGGGGTCCCCTCCCCACGCCTCCACCTGCACTCACTCCCAGCTCTCCCTTTTATTCCCGGTGCAGTGCGTTCCCCTCCAGGTCTGGCCAAGACACCCTTGTCTGCTCTGGGCCTGAAGCCCCACAACCCAGCCGACATCCTGCTGCACCCCACCGGCGGTGAGTAACTCCAGCGGGAAGGGAGGTACCTGGGGAGGCCGAAGGGAGGAGTGGGCAGCTGGAGGATGCCTGTGGTCCTGGGCAGGGCCCAGGCCTGGTGGGTTCTCCGGATTCTTCTGGAAACAAGGTGGCAGCCTGGCTCTGTGTCCATGCTGAGGTCAGGCCTGGGTGGGGCTCTCTGTTCGGGGGTTGAGGGGGGCGGAGCCTTCCTGCCCTTGCCTTCTGGGGTCAGCACCACTCCCAGCATCCTCTGACGTTGGGGGGTTGGAGGCATGCCCTGTTTCCCTGGAGGTGGTTAACTTTCTGCCGGAAGCCTGGCTCCCGTGCCCCAGAGTCCAGGTGGTTGTGTGTGCATGCGCACACACACACACACACACACACAAACACACACACGCAGACATGCACACACACGCAGATGCAGACATGCATGCACACACATACACAGACATACATACATACACACACACAGAGACATGCACGCACACACACACGCAGACATGCACACACACAGAGACATGCACGCAGACATGCACACAGAGACATGCACGCACACACAGATGCAAGCGTGCACACACACACAAACACAGACATACATACATACACACACAGACATACACACACAGAGACATGCACACACACATACACACAGGCAGACATGCACACACACACACAGACATACATACATACACACACAGACACAGAGAGAGAGAGAGACATGCTTGCACACACACATGCAGACATGCACACCCACACAGACATGCATGTGCACACAGATGCAGGCGTGCACACACACACACAGAGACATGCACGCACGCACACACACAGAGAGACATGCACACCCACACAGACATGCATGTGCACACAGATGCAGGCATGCACACACACACATACACAGACATGCACATGCACTCATACCACATGCAGACATGTACGCACACGCTCCAGGTTCACACCTCGTCACGTTCCCCAGCTCCTCTCCTCCTTGTTGGGAAAGGGAAAGTGGAGACCCTGGGTCCTTAGTGACCATTGCCAACAGGCTGAGCCCAGAAACTTGCTCTCTAGACTCTGGTGTAGGCTGGACTGGGGTTCTGGGGACCAACTTTGCTTCTTTTCTTTAGTCCCCAGAAGACTGATCCAGCCAGGTAGGCGGGCGGTGGCATGACTGGTGTGAGCCACGCAGACACACAGCCGGGCACAGCCTCTCACTCAGGACGTGTCTGCATGGCCAGGGACACGGAGTCACCGGGTGGTGGGGCTGCCTGTCACCAGGCCAGCACACTCCTGCTTGAGACGCGGGGGCTGTGACAGGGACACGGGCCTGCTGTTCCCGAGAGCGAGGCCCTGTCTTACCTGTGCGCCCTGGAGGGCCTGCCTCTGCCTTGGCCTCAGCCCTTTTCTCAGCGAAGTCTCTCTCTCTCAGGAAATAATCCCTGTTAATCCATCTCTCTCTCTCCTTTTTGCTCTTCCTCTCCCCTTCATCCCCTGCCTCTCCTTCCTCCTCACCTCTCTTCCCATCTTCCCTCAGAGGAGGATGAGAGGAAGGTGCTGACAGAGCTTTCTGAAGGTAAGTGTGGCTTTGCTGTGTGACTGCTTCCTGCTCTCCGCGTCCGGGAATGGCTGTTCACTCCATTTGATCTGCCTGGCTTGAGGGGGTGTGTGGGGAGCAGCTCTCTTCTCTGATCAGGTCTCATGTGGCTGGGCGCATAGGCCTCCCCCGCCCCCCCCCCCCCNATCCCCACCCCCGGCTGGGTGATCGGGGGGTGATGAGCTGTCATTCTGGATACTGACTGAGGTGCCCACAGCCCCAGGGCATGGGTCCTGGTGTGGCCTAGGGTCCAGGCACTAGTGCAGTGCCACCTTGCTGACAAAATGCTCCTCCTGGGAGGCATTCCCACCCACTGCCTGGGGTACAGCAGCCCTTTCAGATGTCGGGGGCTCCTATCCCACTTTCTGGGTGTGCCCCACATCTACAGCTCAGAGCATGATTTCTCAGCCTCAGCACTACCGATGTTTGGGCCAGGCAGTTCTTAGTTGTGGGGACTATGCTGAGCCCTGTAGGGTGTTTAGCACCATCCCTGGTCTCTACCTACTGTTGTTACACATGTGGGTAGCACTCACCCGTCATGACAATCAAAATGTCTGCAACATGACAAATGTCCCCGGGGGGATAATCACTCCTGGTTCAGAGCCACTGTCTTGGAGCCACAAGTTGCCTTTTGGAAGCCCTTGCCTGGTTTCCTATCAGCACAGATGGTAGGATGTCTGTCTTTCTGGGATCTTGGATGTTTTGGGGGGGATTTTGAAAAAGCTATGGATTTCCACCCCCCACCCCGCCGCCCCCCTGTCACACACAGATGCCTCGGGACATCCATGCACAGTTGTGACAGTATCTGGTTAGCACATCTGTGTCCTGGCTTAACCCCTGATTTAAATGAACTCAGCCTTGCACATGGAGAAGCAGAGAGGAGATGTAATCTGGTTGAAGGCCTTTAACTAATTTATTAGGAACAGAATTCAAAGGATGACTCAGAGCAGCAGGTGAAATGAGGGAGATGCTGGCCTGGGTGGCCTGGGCTTCCATGTCCCCATCTCTACCCTGGGGGAAGTGGGAGAAGGGGGTTGGACGAGGTGGGTGTTGAGCACCTTCCAGCTTGGATGTGTTAGATGTTCTGACTTCCCACTTGGGCCCTGGGTCCATGTGGCCTGGTTTCTTTAAAGACTCCATCCAGTTTTTTTTTTGGCTGCGTCTTGGCTTGTGGGATCTTAGTTCCCAGACCAGGGATTGAACCTGGGCCCTCAGCAGTGAGAGTGCAGAGTCCTAACCACTGGACCATGAAGGAATTCCTCCTTCCAGATTCTTAAGCCCATTTCCCACTTCCTTTGCACTCACTACCTTGATTTTCTATCCCCAAAGTGGGCATGGGTTGTACCTCTCTGAATCTGCTGTCACCCGTGTAAGATGGCTGGAGTTTTCCATAAAGCTTTGCCCTCTGCTAGCCAGCCAGAGTTCTGGCAGCAATGCCAGACTGCCTGGGGGGTGCAGAACAAGGCAGCCCCCCAGGACAGATCCCAGAATGGGATGAACTACAGTGGGCTCTCACCCCTGGCCAGCCTCACACCCAAGGGGAGGACCTTCCCCGGGCTGGAGGTGGGCTGCTGGTTCTTGCCAGGAGTCTAGAATCAGCTGAGGCCTGGAGGGTGCTGTGTTCCAGGAGCCCACCCACCTAGGAGGCTCTCAGCTCTCCTTGTGGCTGCTCACCTCCGCAGACTGGTGAGACCCATTCAGTCTCCAGTGGGAAGGTCTGAGGGTGACAGGCCCTGGCTGTGTGCTCCTCACTTGGGGATGACACTTCAATAGAATGGGACTGACACCTGGCCCTCGCACCTGATGAGTGAATCTCAGCCTACAGGCCCCGAGGCCTCTGACCCTCCTTCATCTCTCCTGGAGGCATGGAGTCTGCAGGGGAAGGGCCATAGGGATCCACTCTACCTCAGCCACCGTTTTCAGGAATGTGGACCTGAGGTCCGTGTTGTGAGGTGGGGGTAGGCATCTGCCCAAGGTCACAGTTAAGAGGCAGCAGGACTAGACTGGACTTACTGGTCTCCTGTTTCCTAATCAGGTGGCCACTTCAAAACCCTCCTCCTGCCTCCAGGCGCCATGCCCTGGGATTCCAGCATGGGCATTGGAATTGTTGTCTTGATCTGGAGTGGGGACAGGGGCCAAGGATGTGGGCGTCTGGTTCCATTTTTCCTGACTCATGCATTGCCTTCCGGGTCAGACTAAAGCATATTCTTTGCTGACCCTCTGAAGCTCTGCTTGATTGCCCTGCTGATCTGTGTGAATGCAGAAAAAGATGCCTATAAGGAAAAATAACCAGTAGGCTTATTCAGCAAGGGGGAGAAAAAGACTTTTGGGAAGTGTTCTGTTCAAGGTGCCATGGTAAATGCTTTACCTTTGTTCGTTCTGTTCTTCACTGATTCAATAAATATTTTGTGTGCCTACTATGTGCCAGGCACTCTGGGGGATAAGCAGTGCTATGGTTCTTAATCTCATGGAACAAATGCATGACCAGTGACAGAATTAAATTATCACCGAGAACTATTGAGATAAGTGCTCCAAAGTGAAGAGATACGTTTTTATGAGACCCTGGCTGGAGAAGTAAGATGCAAGGGTGAGTGGCATTAACTTGGTGACACTGGGATGGGAGAAGAGCTTTCCAGGTAGAAGTAAAGGGCACTTGCAAAGGCCCTGGGGTGGGAGGAATAGCATTTCCCCCCCCCCATGAATTGCAAGGGCAGTGAAGTGAGAGCAAGGAGGAGCTGGAGGCTGGAGCAAGAGGCAGTGTGGTGCAGAGTGAGGGTCAGCAGGTAGGGATGGGAGCATGTGGGTCATTGTCACAGTCATCTTATTTAATGATCACAGAAGCACTGAGGAAGGTGGTAGGAGCCCCAGTTTGCTGATGAGGAGGTGACGTGTAAGGATGTTAAATGACTTGTCCAGGCCCAGACAGATGACGAGGGGCATGGCTGAGAGTGTACGCTGCTTTCCATTGATTCCACAGGGTATGACCTCTAAACATGAACAGTGTCTTTACTGGGTGTGGGTACAGGGTGCCCTTCTCCATGAAAGAAGCAGAGGAAGAAAGCCCATAGCAGTAAAGGTATGAGGTCAAAGTCAAGGATCTTCCAGTGGGGGAATAGGGAAAGAAATGGTTGAACCTTCTTTCCTAGAGGAATAGAAACAGGGAACATTCAGCTGAGGTTCTGTCTGTTCCCATGATTAGATGGGTGGATTTGGCACAAAGGAAGACTGCAGATTAGAAATGGCCCCTCTGGGGATCCCTCCTGCTCTGAAATCCTCGGTGACAGTTGCACAGTGCCATCTGGGTATTTTAAGGTAGTTCTGTGCAACGCAAATTTATGGAGCACCTACTTTGTGCCAGGTCCTGTGCTAGGGACTGAGGGCATAAAGATGAGTGAGATCGCCTGGTCAGGATGATATTTCAGCACAAGGTCGAAATGCTGAGCTGGGGGAGGAACAGGGTATGATGAGGACTCAGAGGAGGGCCGTGTGGCTCAGTCTCAGAGTTTGGAATTCCAACTTTTGAGCTCCTGGTTTGGGCCTCAGAAGTTTTACTTCTTTCCTCTCTCCATCTGCGTGTCTTCATTTCACTCGGACCAAGCAGGCTGTTTCTCTCCAGGCAAAGAACCTTTTCTGTGAGGCAGAAAATGCACTTGAGGGTGTGGGTCAGGAGCTGACAGTGCCCCCAGCCTGGTGGGGCTGTCACCAAGCCTCCAGGCCAGCTGCTCTCAGCCTCCAACAGCCTCTTGGAATGGGTTTGGGCTCCCGGAATGTTCTGCACGAGGCACCCTCCTGGCCCTACATCTCCTGCCCTTCCCAGTCCCCGTTGCCCCTGGGTGTAGCTGCTCCAGGATTGGCGGAGAGGAGGAAACTGCAGGAGAGAGTGTGCAGAACAGCAGGAGAGGGGGTAGTGGGAGGCAGACTCCAGCAGACAACTGTGGGGCTGCTGATACACTGGCGTTGGAGCCAGCAAGAAGGAGTTAGAAGGGACTTGCTCATCTCCTGTCACTTGATCCAGGCTGGGCAGGTGGGTGTCCTCATTCCTATTTTACAGACTAGAGAACAGAGTCCCAGAGAGGTTCAGCAGCCTGTCCCCGCTCACTCTGCCAGTAAGTGAAAGACAGGGAGCTCACACGTTGTATGTTGTACTGAAGTGGGGAGGAGAGGAAAATGGGAAGAGATAGGGAAAGGGGGTATTTTCAATACGTAATCTGAGTCTGAAAACTTGGTGGGAAATGGGCTGTTTTGGCCCTCAAGGTTGGTTTTGAACAGTTATGAAGTTGGACTCAGAAAATCAAATATCTTCCCAAAGGGTCGCTCCTGCTCTGGGCTCATGAGGAGCAGAGATTGAGTGAGTCTCTACCCTGATTTAGTCCTGGAAGGTCAGGAAAGGGCAGCCAACCAGCCAACCAAGAAAGAGGATGGAGAATAAAGTGAGGGCAGGGCCAGGAGGGCTGGGTCTGAAATCCACAGGCTGGGAGCCCCTGCGCAAAGCCCCCAGGCTAGTTGGCCACCTGAACTCACAGGGCTCTTAACTGCAAACATGGTGGGAACCGCTGCAGGTGCTCCTCCCTGGATGAGTGGTCCTGTCTTCAAGTTCAGAGGCTGAGTCCTCTGAGAGCTCCTTTGTAAGCTGCTCTGTAGCTGAGGATCTGATGGGAGTGAGGACGGGGCTCCTGAGGCTGATGCTTTATGAATGTGGCCATCCTAAAGCCGTTTCAGGTTTTCTGATATCTCCAACTTTATAATATACTGTCCCTTCGGTGTTCTGTGCAAACTACACTCGGGTTCCTGACACTATGTTTGGGTCAAAAGGAGTTAGTGGGGACCTGGCCTTGACTCATGGTAAACAGGGCAGATGGGAGTCAGTATCTGTGGTCCCAGGCCTGGCCCTGTCTTGACCCTAGGACTGGGTGGTGTGGGTGGCCTTACTTCGGTTTTACTGATGGTAGAAGTGGTATATGTACTTTTTTTTTTTAATAGATGGGGTGCTGATCCAATAATGTGAGCTGCTTACCCACCGTATGGGTCAGGTCTTGGCAGGAAACAGCTCATTCCAATGGGGCAACTGAAGAGGGTTTAATGGACTATTTAGATGGTCTGGGCAAACCAACTAGGGATGGTGAAGCACCTCTCCGGGTGCTCCCGAGCAGGAGGCAGGAGCCATCAGCATTCCAGGCCTGAAGAAACCAGGAGGAGCTGGAGGAGAGGGCCCACCCCTGGAGCTGGTATCTTGGGTGGAGCACGCGGCCCTGGAACTTTGACTCTTTCTCCCCACCCACCCTCATCCTCTGTTAGCACTGCCTACCAGCCAGCTGCCAAAGGCCCAGACCCTCTGGAGCCCTGAGCCCAGGGATCTGGGGGATGCTCTCAGTAAAAGCTGGCCTGCAGGGACACAGAGCAGGCTGGGGAATGAATCAGGAGGACATGGCAGGTGGAGAGGAGTGCAGACTTCAGGGCTCACCCTCGGGCATTTTAGCTTGAACTTTTAGGGGTCAGCAAGAATTCAAGGGAAGGAGAAAAACGAACGTGGGCCACTTAGGTCTTAGTCACTGTGTACCTCTGTGGTGGGGGGAGATAGGGGGCAGAGGGTAAAGGTCATGCATCTACTAGTTTGTGAGACAGACATTTACTGAGGATTCATCGTGTGCCAGGCGCTGTACAGATCAGCAAGGAGCTTGGGGCAGCCAGGGAGCAGATGGATCCTCTTGCCACCTCTGGGTGGGAGAGAAGGATACTGGGTTCTGTGGGCACTAGGTTGAAGCTGAGAGCCTGGAGGGGTCCAGGCGGAGTTTTCAGAGAGTGACCCAGGAGGTAAGGGATGGGCCAGTAAGGTAGGCTCTGGCCTTGGGTCTCAACTGCCATTTCTGTGGGTGTGAGTTCCTTTCTGAGGGTCCCTTCTGTCAATTCGAGTTACCCCAGGGTGTGGAGCCAGCCCCCCAAGGCTAAAAACACACTGACATTCTCGATTCCCCTGATTTTCAGCTGGCGGTATATGCAGGGCCCAAGAGCAGTCTCTGGGCCAGGCTACCGGGGTTCTTAGGTCAGTTCTGTCACCTGCTACTGTGTGGTCCAGACAAGATACTTACATTCTACAAATTCTACTTTGCTCATGTAGTTGTTTGCTATTTTTACTGTTATTGATAGTCTGTGAAGCTGGCTCTTCTCTGGCTGATGGGCTGCAGTTCTGGGTAGCAGCAGCCATAGTTGGGGGGAGCACGGCAGCGGGGCGGGTGGTACAGGAAATCTGGGTCTGGTTGCGCCTCCAGCCCCTTCACTCTCCAGGTCTCAGCACGTTCACCTGTACAGTGACCTCTCTGGCGCTTGCCCCCCTCTTCCCCACCCAGCCTTCCTCTCGGGCCATTCTGAACACCAAGCGGGATGATGATGTCAGTCTCGGGAGGCAGGCTAAGTGTGTCAGGCAAGGTGGATGGGTGTGTCTTGGCACGCGGACTGGGTGTGACTCACCCACACAGGCCTGTTGCTAGGCCAGCAAGCCTGTTTCTGGACTCTGGGTGTGGGGTGGAGTGAGCATCCCGAGACGCAAGGCTGGGCTGGAGCTTGGGGTCCACGGACAGCCCAGACCACAGCAGTGCCTGGGGAGCCGAGAAGGGCCTGGGGACCTGGGTAGCAGGGTTGGGAAGAAAAGCTCAGCTAGAGGGGCACCAGTGAAGGACGGTGTCCCAGCTCCAGCAGGGAGGACTCTGTGATGGCTGTGTTCTGGGGTCCCTTTCTGGGAAGCTTCTCAGAATGAGGCTCTAGTTAAAGGTTCTCTGGGGGCTCTCACAGCTTCTCCACGATGCTGGAAAGAGGTTGGACCAGGGCAGGCAGGAGCCCCGGAGATGTGCCCCTCGTCTGCTTGGCTGACCTTTTGGGATTTCCCTCACAGGCTCTGGGGAGGCGGGTTCCCTGGGGTTGGGTGGGGTCCACACTGCACCCCTTGGATCCACACTCAGTCCCTGTCCCCTCGCCCCTTCCAGAGCCCCGGAGCTATGTGGAGTCGGTGGTACGAACGGCGGTGGCTGGGCCCCGGACTCAGGAACCTGAGCCCAAGAGCTTTAGCACCCCAGTTGCGCAGGCCTATGGCCACGAGACACCCCTGAGGAATGGGACCCTGGGAGGCTCCTTTGTCTCCCCCAGCCCCCTCTCCACCAGCAGCCCCATCCTCAGCGCTGACAGGTAAGTGGGGGGGAGGATCCAGGCCCGGGGCAGCACGGATGAGGCCTCTTGGATCCAACTAGGGCATGGACGGGCAGAAATTGTATCCAGGGTGCTGCCCTTGGGAAACCAGCTCACTGGGATGCATGGCAACAGCATGTAATTCCCCAGGGAGAGTACCAAGGTGAACCAGGCACAGTTCTTCCCTCAAATGTATTACTTTTGTTTTTATTTACTTATTGGCTGCACCATGCGGCATGCTGGGAGCCTTACTTTCCCAGAGATCAAATCCATGACCCCTGCAGTGGAAGTGTGGAGTTGTGACCACTGGATTGCCAGGGAAAGCCTTCTTCTCCCAAGTTTAAAATAGAACAAGAATAGTTACTATGTTGTGACTTCTTCCCATGTGCCAGGCCTTTTGCTAAGTGCTAAGTGCTAAGTGCTAAGTGCTAAGTGCTTTCTATTTAAACCTCTAGCTATCCTAGAGGTAAGTAGTAGTATTATTCCCACTTCTCAGAAGAGGAAACTGAGGCAGAGAGAGATTAAAGTAGTTTATTCAAGGTCCTACAGCTAAACAGTAGCAGAAAAAGGATTCAGAACAAAGGTGTCTGGCTCCGGAGTCCACATCTCTATCCTACCCCCCCACCCCCCCACCCTCCATCACAGAGCCGCAGTTAGAGGTGCTCCAAGCAGAGGTGTAAGCAAAGAGCTCTGAGCAAGAGGCCGTTATTTCTGGCTCAGTCTGCAGAGAGGGTCTCTGGGGGCTGGAAGTACGGGAAGTATTTGTACTAAGGCCAGAGGAAAGCAGGGGTTGAAAGGTGAAAGGGAGGGAGAGGGCCTTCGCGGCATAGCAAGGACAGGACCCGGGTGTGGAGGTATTGGGTGTGGGGCCTGGGGATCAGGTCACTGTGGGGTAAGGGGAGGGATGTCTTAGTGGATGGGTGGCTGACATTCTAGGGGGTCAGACAGAGAGGAAAGCCAGAAACTTCCCAGAAAGGGAGGCTCCTGTGCTTGGGGTGCAGTGAGAAGCTGCTCGACTGGCGGGGTGGGGCATAGCCTTTATGATGGGGAGACAGGGAGATGACATTGGAGAGGGACTCTGAGATGAGCCCGGGCAGGGCACAGCGTGCCAGGCGGGGAGGCGGCCTGCACCGGCCAGAATTCCACCCCGCAGGAGGGGCGACTGCCCCAACCATCCCTTCCCACGTCCGCTCCCCTTCTCAGACTGGGACCCCACAAGGCCGGAAACTATCCAGCCGCCTCCCCCCACTTCCACAGGCAGGAGTGAGCAGTGTGCTCCCCCACCCAGGTCGGGGCGGGAGGCGCAGGTGAGGCGCAGGTGAGCCGAGGCAGTTTTCTTCTGGATTCTTAAGAATCTGAAACCTCAAGCCAAGCACACACCCCCAGTCCACTTGACCCCCTCCCCAGCCTCTTAACAGCTCCACCTGGAGAAAGGTCCGCCTCTGGGCAGGAGCTGATTCTTCTTCTAAAGGAGAGGAGATGTTCCTCACCTCTCACCCCCCACCATGCTGATATCCAAGAAGTCCTGACATTAGGGAGTTTTCACTTTTTCTCACTCAAATTCCTCCCGCAGTCAGATTCAGGAAGCCAGCTCCTCCTCCAGGATTAATCACCCGAAACGCCATTTCCGTGTCCCCAGCTCCTCCCTCCCCCCATTTCTCAGAATCCAGGTTATTCTGTACCGAAGTGGTGTTTTACTCTGGCCTCTTCTGGGATGTGTGGTAGACTTTGTCCTGGCCTGGCCCCGACCTTCTCTCTGCCCTTGGCTCTTGCCTGGCCCTCCCACCTCACACCACCCTGGGGACCTGAGCTTAACCAACCCAACCCAGGGTGGGGCCGGCCAGTCTCCAAACTCCTAGTCTGCGGCTCCAGGCTTTGGTGCACCGTCTTATGTAAGGACCCTTCCCCTCCGCCCCCGGCTGCCCCACTGCCAGCCCTCACCCAAGGGCTCCTTGTGCGAGCCTGCCTGCTGCCTCCCTGCAGCCAATGTTTGTGCGTGGTCCCTGACAGCCTTTGTCTCTGCTGCCATGTCACTGAGGAAGTTTGAGTCTGGAAGCAATCAGAGTCATCTAACCCACCTCCCTCATTACCTGTGTTGCTGTTGTTGTTCAGTCGCTGAGTCGTGTCTGATTCTTTGCGACCCCATGGACTGGAGCATGCCAGGCTTCCCTGTCCTTCACCATCCCCTGGAATTAGCTCAAACTCATGTCCATGGAGTCAGTGATGTCATCCAACCATCTTATCCTTTGTCACCCACTTCTCCTCCTGCCCTCAATCTTTCCCAGCATCAGGGTCTTTTCCAATGAGTTAGCTCTTCGCATCAGGTGGCCAAAGTATTGGAGCTTCAGCTTCATCATCAGTCTTTCCAATGAATATTCAGGGTTGATTTCCTTTAGGATTGACTGGTTTGATCTCCTTGCTGTCCAAGGGACTCTCAAGAGTCTTTTCCAGCACCACAGTTTGAAAACATCAATTGAGAAAACTTTGAAAAGCAGAATCCAGGTTTCCCAGTTTACAGGCCATTTCCTGTATTCCTGCATGGACTTGTACTTAATTTCAGAGGAGAACCTTTGTGGCCATTTTCCCAGGTACAGTGCCCTCTGAACTGAGTTTCATCAGTCTTAGAATTGAAAGCGACTTCTGAGCTCATCTAATCTAAACTCCCAGTGGAGGAAATTTCCTCTACAGCATTCAAATCAAGAGGTTGGTCAGCCTCTGCTTAAATGCTCTTAATGATGGGAGTCTCATTACCATGTAATGCAGCCTGCTCCATTAGTGGCTAGATCCAATAGCTAGAAAACAGATCCTATAATGAGCTGAAATCTCCTGCTATGAGACTTCTTCATCTTTGTCTTTTTTTTTTTTTGGAGCTACCCAGGAACGGATGCCCATTTACACTCTCAGTGTGTAAATGTCAACTCACCTGGGGAAAGTGAGTCAGGGGAAGATGCTTCCAGGAGGACCAGGGCCCAAGTGGTTTAACTCCATCTCCAGTGTTCCGTTTCTGTGATGCTGGAGGGGGCAACAGGACAGCCACCTTCAGTTTCGATAGCAGAGATCTCGCTCTGACTTGTGGTTGAGCTGTCAGGGTGACGCTTGAGTGTATGAGGGCTTTGGAATCCGACACTGCTGAGTTGAGATCCTGGTCTTTCGTGAGCTGTGTGGCTGTGAGCCTATTGCTTAACCTCTCTGAGTCTCAGTTTCATCTTCTGACATCTTGAACGTAAGGTGATGTGCAAAAGCCTTGACTTTTCTGTTCATGCGAGAGGAGCTAAGGACAGGGAAGCCTGGCAGGCTGTAGTCCATGCGGTTGCAAAGAGTCAGGTATGACTGAATGACTGGACAACACAGTGGTTGGAGGGATGGCTGAAGCTTCACGGAAAGCCTGTCCTTCCCTCAATGCCACCTGCTGACATCTCGGCCTGCCCGTGTCTCTGTCTCTCTAGCACTTCCGTGGGGAGTTTCCCATCCGGGGAGAGCAGCGACCAGGGCGCGCGGACACCCACCCAGCCTCTGCTGGATTCTGGCTTCCGCTCCGGCAGCTTGGGCCAGCCGAGCCCTTCGACTCAGAGGAGCTACCAGAGCTCTCCTCCTCTGCCGACTGCAGGCAGCAGCTACAGCAGCCCCGACTACTCACTGCAGCAGTTCAGCTGCCCGGAGGCCCAGGCCCGGTCTCAGTTCAGTGTGGCCAGCGTCCACACGGTGCCTGGGAGCCCCCAGGCACGGCACAGGACAGTGGGCACCAACACGCCCCCCAGCCCTGGCTTTGGCCGCCGGGCCGTGAACCCCAGCCTGGCTGCCCCCAGCAGCCCCAGTTTGAGCCACCGCCAGGTGATGGGTCCGCTGGGAACCGGTTTCCATGGTAACACCATCTCCAGCCCCCAGAGCAGCGCAGCGACCACTCCGGGAAGCCCCAGTCTGGGTCGCCACCCTGGGGCCCACCAGGTTTCCAACCTCCACGGCAATGTGGCCACCACTCCCGGGAGCCCCAGCCTGGGCCGGCACCCCGGGGCCCACCAAGGCACCCTGGCCTCCAATCTCCATGGCAACACAGTAGCCAGCCCCGGAAGCCCCAGCCTGGGCCGTCACTTGGGAGGGTCTGGATCTGTGGTTCCCGGCAGCCCCAGCTTGGACCGGCACGTACCCTACGGTGGCTACTCCACTCCTGAGGACCGGAGACCCACGCTGTCACGGCAGAGCAGCGCCTCGGGCTACCAGGCTCCTTCCACGCCCTCCTTCCCTGTGTCCCCCGCCTACTACCCCGGCCTGAGCAGTCCCGCCACCTCCCCCTCGCCGGATTCGGCGGCTTTCCGACAAGGGAGCCCCACCCCGGCCTTGCCGGAGAAGCGGAGGATGTCCATGGGCGACCGAGCGGGCAGCCTCCCCAACTACGCCACCGTCAACGGGAAGGTGTCCTCCTCGCCAGTCGCCAGCGGCATGTCCAGTCCCAGCGGGGGCAGCACCGTCTCCTTCTCCCACACTCTGCCCGACTTCTCCAAGTACTCCATGCCAGGTGCGCCTCCTTCCCCGTCCACCGCTCTTGCTGGCGGATGCCGTCCGCCAGGCAGGCGCTCTGTCCCCGTGTCTGTTCTGGCATCTCCTGGGCAGACAGCCTTGGGTGGGTCATCGGCCTCGGGTCCTCAGGTGCGTTAGCCGTGTCACAGGAGTTGGAGCTGTGCTCAGAGCCGATGTGCTGTCGTTGTGGCAGCTGTGGGGGCAGGGGTGGGGACCTGGATGTGACCAGATGCCTACGATGGCCCTGCTGTTCTGATGATCATTAGCATCTTCACCCCTTGCTGAGCACGTGCTCTGTGCCGGGCTCTGCGCCATGGTCCACCTTGTCAGTTCTCATGGCCACCTAGCAAAGTGGCTATTATTACCTCCATTTTACACATGAGCAAAGTGAGGCTTGGAGAGGTTCAATCATTTGTCCACGATCCCACAGTTAATAAATGGTTTAGCATCCAGACCCTTACGACCTTAAAGCATGTGCTCTTAAAACCCAATTGGAGCTGTCTTACTGCCTTGTCTTGATAGTTTCTGTAATTTAGTGTATCCTGGAAAATACGGCTTCCAAACCTGGACCACCCGCCCCCGCCCCACTTTTTGCCAGCCGATAGCACTGTTCCCGCCTTTTGATGCCCACTTTGCCCACATCACTAATAAAAGATCTCGCAACCAGATGAGATAGGGGAAAAGGCCAAGGGTTAAGCGTTTTTACTGGAATCTCGTTTCTACCAGCTCGGCTTAAGAGAAGCCTGCGCGGGTTTACACGGTGAATTCTTCACTTATCACCAGAACTGGGCATCTTTAGCCGCCACTTACAGGACTTGTTATCTAAACAAAAAGGTCAAGGCTTCAGCTGATGTGCATCTCTTCAGCCACATCTCCAATCTGACTTTGTTTACAGTGACCCCAGAGTCCTGGGGCATCCGAGGAAGATGTAGAATGCAGCAGGCAGCCTGGGATGGGCCCCAGCTGCCCAGAGACTCCATGTGTCACTCCCGGGTCCTGCCCTGAGCCTTCTAAGTGACACTGCACGACCTGGCTTCCTGCTGCCCACCAGAGACATCTGGTTCCCAGCCCCAGTTCTTGGAGGATGCAAAACTTCTAGTAGTTGGGATATTTCCTGTTTCCCACCATCTTCCTTGCTTAAAATAGCCATGGGAGTCAACACAGGAAGGCACATGGGGCTGCAGCCGCCTCTGACAGCTCATTAGACAGGCAGCAGCAGCCCTGGGGCCTGGGACTCTGGAGCAGAAAGAGGCAGCTTGCAGAGTTGTGGGGCCCAGCTGCCTAGCCCAGAGGCCCTGCTCTGTGCACAGCTGCCAGGAAAAGGAGCTGACCTTCCCCCTGTCTGTCCTCCAGAGACAGATCCCAGAAGCCTCACAGAATGTAAATAACAAGGTGAAATTGACTGGACTCACAGCCCAGCCCTCATCTCTGGTCTGTGCCCTGAACTTTTTACAGCGCTGTGAGCACAGGGTCCTCTGCTTCAGCCCGTCCCTAGAGAAAGCAGGGGAAACCTACAGATCTGGAATATTCCTTTTTTCCCCTCTTCCCCCATCCTCCCTTTTGTTTCCTTTGCTGTCAGAAAATGAAGGAAGAGGTTGGTGAGTGAGTCCTTATTCCCAGCCAGGAAGATACGATGTAGCTGACCTCAACTGGCTATTGCATCTTCTTACCTGGGAACATCTAACAAAAGCCTTTTGTGGACCGTTTGTGTAACTTGGGCAAGCCGCTCCCCTTCCAGGAACCTCACATTCCTCATTTGTAAAGTTAAGCAGTTGAATACGATGCTCTCTCTCCAGAACATCCTATCAAAGCATCCGTAGTCTGCAAAGGGTCTGGGGTGGGGAGTGTCTACCAGAGAAGTGGGGTGCGTGACACTTGGTAGACAGCTTCTTAGTTCCAGGCCAACCGTTCCCTTATTTATCCCAGGTAGAACAGGAGCGATCCTTTTGTTCTAAATGAGATTTTCCATGTGGGGAGTGAGGAGGAGCTTGGGGAAAGTGGACAGAATGTGTTTTTCTGCTCTCATCCTCAAGGTTGTTATGATGAAGTGGAGAAATTGAGCTGTGGGAAAAGGGACTAGAAGGTGGGAGAGAGCTTCAGGAAGGATTTAGTCTGACTCTTCTAGAGAAAGGGCGAGGTGGGCTGGAGTAGGACTCTCGCTGGCTGGGGGAAGATGCTGTTCAGGCGCTTCAGCAGGAGGACAGCTGGGTGACCCACAGTGGTTGTTGGGAGATGGGGGAGGAAGCAGCTTGAGGCCCCTTCCAGCAATGCTCTGATGAGGTCTGAGCAGATCTTTTTCCTGTGTTAGTTTCCTAGGTCAGCCATGACAGAGGACCACAAACTTGGTGACTTAAGACAGCACAAGTCGCTTCTCTCATTGTAGCTGAGCTGGGAAGTCTAAAGTCAAGGTGTTGGCAGGACTGGCTCCATCTGCAGACCCTGAGGGAGACTCTGTTCCAGGCTTTTCTCTTTGCTCCTCATGGTGGCTGGCAGTCTTGGGGTCCCGTGGCTTGTAGACACGTCTCCCCATTCTCTTCCTCTGTCTTCCCATGATGCTTTGTCTCCCTTTCTCTTTTTTTATAAGGACATAAGTCATATTGGATTGGGGTCCACTCTAATCCGGCATGACTGCATCTTAACTTGGTTACATCTGCAAAGGACTATTTCCAAATAAAGTTCCATTCACAGGTCCTGGGGGTTAGAATTCTAACATATCTTTTTGGGGGGACAGAGATGGAGACTCATAACATCTCCTGTCCTTTCCTTCTTTAGACAACAGTCCTGAGACGCGGGCTAAAGTGAAGTTTGTCCAAGACACTTCCAAGTATTGGTACAAGCCTGAGATCTCCAGAGAACAGGGTGAGTGTTGGATGACACTGAAGGTCCTGGGGTCCATCCGAGGTCACACTGGCCGCTGTCCACCTTGTCTTCCCTGGGCAAGGGATATAAGCAGACTCACTCCTCTCTGCAGTGGTGGTGGTCACAGAGAGGACCTGGCCCCAAGCTTAGACAGTAGGAGGCACCTTCCCAAGGCCAAGGGCAGGGAGCAGGAGCCATGGTTGTAGCCAGTTCCTTAAAAGCTGCAAGTCTTGATTTTCCAGGGCAAAATGAAAAGGCTGGCTGAGATCATATGGAACCTTAGCCCTCCATCTGCATGATGTGGGAGGTTTCTGCACATTTTATAGAAGAACATAGTTGGGGCTGTGGGGATGGAGACGAGAGGCATCGGCTATGAAAAGTCTGTGTGGATGTAGGGCAGGGTGACTTCCAGCCACGGGTCAGATCCAGGCTGCTGCTTGTTTTCATAAATACAGTTTTCTTGCAGCATCCTATGCTCAGTCACTCAGTCATGTCAGACTCTTTGCAACCCTATGGACTGTAGCCCGCTAGGATGGATCCTCTGTCCATGGGATCTTCCAGGCCAGAATCCTGGAGTGGGTTGCCATTTCCTCCTCTAGAGGATCTTCCCGACTCAGGGATCGAACCTGCATCTCCTGTGTTGCAAGTGGATTCTTTACCTGCTGAATCATTAGGGAAGCCCCATCTATTGGTTTACTCACTGTCTGGGCTGCTTCTGGGCTGTGATCGCAGCCATGAATAGCTGCAGCCAACCCTGCATGGCCTGTGAAGCCTGAAATATTGACTGTCTGGCTCTTTACAGAAAAATTTTGCTGACTCTAGTATAGGAGGACCCTTAGGAGTGTTTACATTTTAACTTTAGGGGCTCTCATCTCATCTGAGAAAGAGTGAGATTTGAGGCCTGATAAGACCTAAGTGAAGTTGTTGTTCAGTCACTTTGTGACCCCATGGACTGCAGCATACCAGGCCTCCTGGTCAGATCCAGGCTGCTGCTTGTTTTCATAAATACAGTTTTCTTGCAGCATCCTATGCTCAGTCACTCAGTCATGTCAGACTCTTTGCAACCCTATGGACTGTAGCCCGCTAGGATGGATCCTCTGTCCATGGGATCTTCCAGGCCAGAATCCTGGAGTGGGTTGCCATTTCCTCCTCTAGAGGATCTTCCCGACTCAGGGATCGAACCTGCATCTCCTGTGTTGCAAGCGGATTCTTTACCTGCTGAATCATTAGGGAAGCCCCATCTATTGGTTTACTCACTGTCTGGGCTGCTTCTGGGCTGTGATCGCAGCCATGAATAGCTGCAGCCAACCCTGCATGGCCTGCGAAGCCTGAAATATTGACTGTCTGGCTCTTTACAGAAAAATTTTGCTGACTCTAGTATAGGAGGACCCTTAGGAGTGTTTACATTTTAACTTTAGGGGCTCTCATCTCACCTGAGAAAGAGTGAGATTTGAGGCCTGATAAGACCTAAGTGAAGTTGTTGTTCAGTCACTTTGTGACCCCATGGACTGCAGCATACCAGGCCTCCCTGTCCCTCACCATCTCCCAGAGTTTGCTCAAGTTCATGTCCACTGAACTGGTGAAACCAGTGCGTCAGTTTCTCATTTCCTCTTCTCTCCTGACTCAGCTATCGCCCTCCTTAAGGACCAGGAGCCAGGGGCTTTCATCATCCGTGACAGCCACTCCTTCCGAGGAGCCTATGGGCTGGCTATGAAGGTGTCTTCGCCCCCTCCGACCATTATGCAGCAGAATAAAAAAGGTAACACCAGCTTGTCCAGCAGGGCTCAGGACCAGGGGGTCCCTGCAGTCTCTTTAGGTCCTGATCTGTTAGAAGGAGCAGGGTTGGGGGTAGGGATGTGGGGGGTGAGAGGGTAGGATGGGATGTGCAGGTCTCTTGGTTCTCATGGGAGCTGGTCCCTACTAGTCAGACTCTTCAGAAAGATGGGTCTTGAGCTTGGTGATGACCGGGGTCAGAGAACAGGGGAGCAAGAGGACTGGAACCCTGTGACTGAGTTTCCATGAGAGGTGGCTAGCAGTGGTGGTCTCTCCATCCCAGGGTTCTGGCCATGTTATCGCTGTGAACCTTTCTCCATCACAGCCTCACTCACTGGAGAAGTTAGGAAGTGGTGCTGGGAGGTGGTGGTGGGGATGCCATGAGCAGTGACCCATCCACATTTCTTTCTCTTCGTCCCAGGGGACATGACCCACGAGCTCGTGAGGCATTTCCTGATAGAGACCGGCCCCAGAGGAGTCAAGCTCAAGGGCTGCCCCAACGAGCCAAACTTCGGTGAGCCACCCCCGCCTCCCCACAGTCTCAGGCCTGTCCCGGCTTCCCTGCTGCAGCTTCTGTCTTGTCACCTTTGTCATAGATGCAGCAGGGAAATGCACTGTGACTCCCTTCCTTTGTGCTGTGGTACCTTCACTCTGCCAAATTCCTTTCTGTTTTTGTCCTGCCCCATGGGGACCTGTTACTGTGATCGGTGGAGTCACAACTATTAACAAAGGCTGCTATGTGAAAGCCACGTTGTGTGCTAAGTCACTTCAGTTGTGTCCAACTCTTTGCGACCCCATGGACTGTAGCCTCTCAGGCTCTTCTTTCTATGGGATTCTCCAGGCGAGAATACTGGAGTGGGCTGCCATGCCCTCCTCCAGGGGGTCTTCCCGACCCAGGGATCGAACCTGCGTCACTTATGTCTCCTGCATTGGCAGGCGGGTTCTTTATCGCTAGTGCCACCTTGGAAGCTGAAAGCCACCTTAGGTACTTTATATCACTTCTGGTCTCCTGACCATCCTGTGTGGTAGGTGTCATGGTCCCATTTTACACAGGAGGAAACAGGTTCGTAGGAGTTAGACTTACCAGGGACACATGTCTTGTAAGTTCCTGAGTGTGGATTTGATCCCGCCATCCTCTGACACTTTTGCTACACTCTCCTGAGAGGGTCCCCGGTAGCGGGAGGGATGTAGGAGAGATGCTGGGTGTAACTGTCAGTAAAGGAAAGCTGTAGGGTACCCTTCTGATGCCCACAGTGAGCCTTTAGAATCTTCCCCCTTAGATCTTGGGCTAACAAAGAGAGATTGAAGTTTCAACTTTGTGGGTGGGATGAGGGAGAGGTAATAAAGAAGCGGAAGATTATGGATGGAGGGCTGGGGTGGGTGGACTGATCCTCAGTGCCCGTGGCCTGCTCCTAATAACATTGCTGCTGCTGGGCTGTCTCTCTCTGCAGGATCTCTGTCTGCCCTGGTCTACCAGCACTCCATCATCCCGCTGGCCCTGCCCTGCAAGCTGGTCATTCCAAACCGAGGTAGGAACCTGAGACTCCTTGCCCTCCAAGCGCACCCTTGCGCTGGCCTCCTCTGTGTCTCAGCCCCCAGCCAGCTGCTCCAGAACGTGGGCCAGGCTTGGAGGAAACGGGTCATGCTGCCAATCTGGGGAAACTCGAAACCACTCTCCGCTTTATTTTTTCTAATAAAAAAAGAAGAGAAAGTTCACTTAAAAGCTTAATTCCAGAAACATACATAATTGACTTGCCAGATTGTTCTGGAAAATCCTCTGGAGGTTTTAAGAATTTATTCCTGTGTCCTCAGAAGTAAGCTTCATCCCAGGGGAGGTGCTCGAAGCAGGAAACAGCCATGGTGGGGAGGACTGTGTCTGGCGGAGGAGATGGGCATCAGTGGGCAGGGCCAAGGGAAGTTATACAGAATTGTGTCTGGGACTTGCTTTCAGTCTCTCTTGGAGCTGCTGGGGTTATGTCCACAGTTAAAATCTCCAATATTATTTGGCAATTTCTGTGTATCGAATCCAGTTCATTGAATTATTAATGATAATTGACTGTTATTAACTTAAAAGTTCAAATACTATTTAAATAGTCCCATTAACCATATAATTTAGACACTAATTAAATTGTATTTCTAAGGAATTTACCAAAGTAACTTCACAATTATATAACTGCTATTTATTTACATCGTATAAAACAGTGGTTCTCATTATATGGTCCCCAGAGAAGCAGCATCANAAAGTTCAAATACTATTTAAATAGTCCCATTAACCATATAATTTAGACACTAATTAAATTGTATTTCTAAGGAATTTACCAAAGTAACTTCACAATTATATAACTGCTATTTATTTACATCGTATAAAACAGTGGTTCTCATTATATGGTCCCCAGAGAAGCAGCATCAACACTCCTGGGAACTAGTTAAAAATGTAGATATTCTCGAGCCCCAGCTAATCAGAAAACCCTGGAGTGGGGCCCAGAAATGCATGTTTTAACAAACCTGTATACCAAAGTCTAGGAAATGCTGGCATAAATTGCGTGCTAAGTTGCTTCAGTTGTTTTGGACTCTTTGCAGCCCTATAGACTGTAGTCCACCAGGCTCCTCTGTGCGTGGGATTCTCCAGGCAAGAATACTGGAGTGGGTTGCCATGCCCTCTTCCAGGCGATCTTCAGCCCAGGGATTGAACTCGCGTCTCTTATGCCTCCTGCATTGGCAGGCAGGTTCTTTACTACTAGCACCACTGTACTCAGTTCTTATTACTGTTGAAATTATAGTTGTGCTGCCATATGGTTTAATGGATTAGAGTGTTTACTGGTTTACACAAAGACATGTTGATGCAAAACAACCACATCAATGGCCACTTGAAGGCTTCCTTTTTGTTAATCAGGGACTAACACCATTTACGGAGCATCTCAAAAGCCCAATGAGTGGGTATTCTCATCTTCACCTCTGTTTTGTAGATAGCTGATAATTGCCTGAACCTGGTTCTGTGGGACCCCAGAACTCCCAGCCAGGATACTGAATTCTTAGAGCAATCGCTGCACGTTCAAGCTGGACACACGTGCCGACTGGCAGGGCTGGTTATGAGCAGCAGTATCTGTTGCGCAAAGTGTTTGCAGAGCTAGCCTGAGGCCCAGCCAAGCCTGTGCTTCTTTCCAGCTCTGGGGTTTTAATTACCAGCTGAATTAAATTTTTGTCTCAGACCCCACAGATGAATCGAAAGATAGCTCGGGCCCTGCCAACTCAACCAGTGACCTGCTGAAGCAAGGGGCAGGTGAGTGGGCACCCCAGACGGGATCCCTGCCCAGACCTTTCCTCCCCCCGGCCCTGGACCCTCCTGCCGGTGCAGGCTGGTTGTCACTCCCAGACCCAGAGGTCCCCAGGGAGACCACATTTCTGTGTGCAATGCCTTGGTCCAGGGCTGGCCTGAAATTCATCTGCTGCCTTCTCCCTGAAAAGAGGACCTGGGAATGGTCCCCACCCACCTCGGTCCCCATGACTCCCCCTCGGGTGGGTCTTTTCCCAGCCTGCAACGTGCTCTTCGTCAACTCGGTGGACATGGAGTCACTTACTGGGCCACAGGCCATCTCCAAAGCCACTTCCGAGACCCTGGCTGCTGACCCCACACCAGCTGCCACCGTCGTTCACTTCAAAGTTTCTGCCCAGGGAATTACGCTGACTGACAACCAGAGAAAGTAAGACTCTTCTACTTGCTTCTGTGTTGGGCAACCCCACCGCCCTGTGACCCATCTATCCATACGTGTACCAACCCACTCACCAGCTGATTCATCCCTTCTGCCCATCTAACCACCCATCCATCCACCCACCCATCCACTCATTCACCCATCCATCTACCCGCCCACCCATCCATCCACTTGCTCACCCACTTACTAATTGATCGATCCATTCCTGCATCTATTCATCCCCCATCCATCTTCCCCACCCATTTTCCCCTTCATTCATTTATGTCTCCCTCTATCCATCCATCCATTCATCTGTTCATCCATTCATTCATCCATTCTTCCTTCCTTCTACAAACATGCCTGCATTGGCTATATAGCTATAAATACAGTTGGTAGAAGTCCCTGCTTTCTGGAGCAGAGACCCTTTCTCTCATGTTCTCTCCCCAGGCTCTTTTCTTCCTCCTCCAGGGTCCCCCCCATTTCTCATTCCTCAAGGCCAGTTTCTTCCTTCTTTCCCTAGTCTCTAGCATTTGGGACATGTTTCTGTGACACATCTCTCTGTCCCTGTGCATCGCTTTATGTTCCCAAGGGGAGCAGCCCAGGCCATTGTGCTCATCAGGGAGAGGTTGTGTTGACCTGTGACAGCCAGAGGTGGTGGCCTGGCCTGCGGTGGGGGGTGGGGAAGAGCAGTCACTTCAGCGCTTACTGTTTATGATGGGTGTGCCACAGGCTCTTCTTCAGGCGACACTACCCTCTCAACACCGTGACCTTCTGTGACCTGGATCCACAGGAGAGGAAGTAAGTCTCTTGTGGACACCTGCCCTCCCAGCCATCTCTCCAACCCTGGAAGTCTGTGTGTGTGCATGCATGTGTCATTGTGTGCATGTGTGTGCACTCATGTGAGTGCTCCAAGTGTAAGGGTGTGCATTCTTGGTTCAATTTGGGGATCTGCCTGTCTCTGTGGAACTGTGAGTGGCATGGCTGCCTTGGCATCTTTTTGCGTTTTCCCCCACAGATTTGAAGCCCCTCCTGGGGACTCAAATGCCTGCTTCCACCCCTCTGACCTTGCAGCTGCTTCCCTCTCCACACTGGGGACAGCTCCCTGGGAAGCAGGCCACGGTGCTCGCTCCATCGCTCCACCGTAAACAGCCCCCCTCCGTGTAGTCTTTAGAGACCCTGGGGCCCTCCCTGGGAAGCAGGCCACGGTGCTCGCTCCATCGCTCCACCGTGAACAGCCCCCCTCCGTGTAGTCTTTAGAGACCCTGGGGCCCTGGCAGCGGGGCTGTGTCTTCCCCAGGGGTCTGGGCGCTGGGGCTGGGCTCTGAGGGGGAAGTGATGGTTTACGCTGTGTCCTCGCTCTCTCCCTAGGTGGACGAAGACGGAGGGAGGTGCCCCTGCTAAGTAAGTGTCCTTTTCCCCAACCCGCCCGGCTGGTTGTTGTGGTCCTTGGCTCAGGGGGAGGTGGGTGAGGGAACGGGTTAAACTCCAGGACCAGGGGGCAAGCAAAAGGTGGCTCTGGAGAAAACCTGGCCCAGGCAGCCAGGTCTGTGACCTCCTGCCTGGAGCTGAAGGCCTAGCCTCCCGCCTTATCCCTGTCCTGCTCCCAGAACCAGACCATCAGAGGCTGAGGAAGGGAATCGAAAACCCAGAGTTTTATTGGGAGGTGATGGCAGTGGGGTCGGGGTTGTTTAAATGATCTTTTCTGCCACAATCCTGGCTTCCTTGACTCCTTTTCCCGCTTTCCTGGGAGACTAGGCCTCCTCATTGGACCGCACAAGTCTGGGAGGTCTGAATTCCTTCCAGAATTCCAGGGATTGCCTTGTGGCCCTTTGGTCAATTTTCCATCCATTTCAGCATTTTTAAGTGCTTCCAGGGAACTCAGCCCTCAGAAAATTCAGACCAACCAGGAGGCTGGCTCTGCCCTTGGGTGCCTGATGTTGGCGCAGTAGATGAGAGAAGTGTATAAATGGGCTAAGGTGCTGCAGTGATTTTCAAATTGTGTTCTAAGGAACCCTAGATTCCTTGGGTGTAATTGGGCTGCTTGAGGGGAGGAAAAACTCTGCTGTGATTTACGATATTTATCAGCATGAATCAGAGTTTTTCTCAGTAAAACAAAGCATGGGAATAAGCTGGCTAATAAAGCTGACATAAGACTCACTGAGGTCTATAATTCCACCTTGTACTTCGTCAGGCGTATCCAGACAGCCCCATTTTTTCTGACTGATTGTATCATAGGTCGATGTTATGCTGTTGAGTTGTTACTTTATTGCCATAAATACTGTCACCTTTACATATCCAGACTTCATATGAGATTGGCTTTAGAGAAAGGAAACTTTCACTGTTAAAAAAAGAAAATTACAACCACTGCTGAATGAGGCATGTCAGGAGGGGACAGCTCACATCTGTGGTATCATGAGGCAGAGTGCTTCTAGGCAGGGAGAGATTTGGGGAAAAGTGTTAGTAGCTTGGTCATGTCTGACTCTGTGAGACCCTTTGGACTATACCCCGCCAGGTTCCTCTGTCCATGGGATTCCAGCAAGAATATAGGAGTGGGTTGCCATGCCCTCCTCCAGGGGATCTTCCCAACCCAGGGATTGAACCCATGTCTCTTACATCTCCTGCCTCCTATATTGGTAGATGGGTTCTTTCACCACCAGCACCACCTGGGGAAAGAACCTGTATTTAAAAATAGGTCTTATAAGACAGGTAGAAATGGGTGCAAGGGGTAAGAGAGAGCTGATTTCATGGGATGGGAAAGGGAAGTTGCCAGACTGCAAGCTCCTGAGGGCAGGACTGTGTCTACTGCATAAAGAAAGAAATGAAAAGATGGAGGCAGAGAGATGGAGAGTGAGGAGGAGGCCCAGTGAGGCCACCATGGTCCAGATGAGTAGAACTGACCAGCACTGGCATGATGAGTCTCCCTCTGGGGGTGTCCAGAGGGGCTGTGAGGGATGGAGGAGACGTCTTCTGGCCCATGGTCACGTATGCCCCGGTGTCCAGTCCCTCTCGAAGCTTGCCTCCCTCTGTCTCAGCCGCCTCTGAGACTCACAGAATTATTAGGGTCTTTGAGTCCCTTCTGCCAGCCAGGAGGCAAGAGCTCTCTGTTTGAAGGGTCTTCTCCTTCCTTACCGCCGGGCCCTGCAAGTGGGAGATGGGTCAGGGACTGAAGCAGGTTGGTCCCAGGTCTGGAAATTCCTTCTTTAAGAGCAGGTTTTGTGTGGAGCTTCCTTATGACTCACCCTTGCTGAGGCCCAGGAGAGCTCAGGGTTGGACCAGGGTGAGGCCAGCGAGATGTCCTGGGCCCCACATTTAAGGAGGTGCTTGCCCTCGGGTGCTTGTCATGCTCCTCTCCACCCTCGGGGCTGAGGTTTCTTGCCTGCATCCACTCCTCCAAGCCGAGAAAGAGCTTGGGCTACGGTTGAGTTGGCCCAGGGACCTACAGAGCTGAAATAAACACCAGGGGAGGGCAGGTGGGCAGTGTTCAGGCCTGAGAGGTTGACTGGCTCTCATCTTGGCAGAAGTGAGCTGGAGTGGGCTCGCTGCCACGCTGGCAGCTTGGAGCCGCTCCCTCCCTCTGCCCTCCGCTCCCTCCACTGCACCCCCCCACCCCGCAAGGCTGGAGAAGGGGCTCTGGGGAGTGGTCCACAGCCCCAACCTTCCCCATCTCCTGGGCAGATGATCACCCCAGGCCTCTGAGCTGACTGGGTTGATTCAGCCCCTGAAACACATTTGGGAAGAGCAAAGCTGTGGGAAGCCCCCTGTGTGTGTATGTGTGTGTGTACACACGCATGTGTGCACAGGATGGCAAGCCAGACCCAGCCTGGCTAATTTTAGCTGCTGTGTCCAGTCCTGGGCGAGGGGTTTCCATTGGAATCCCCAGCTGTCCCGATTTCCCCATCCAGCTCTAATTAGCAACGTGCCGACTGGGAGGGGACTTGAGCTCACATTCTGTTCTCTGCGCTCGTATTTTTAACTCTGTTTTGCAAAGAGAGAATGCTCGGTCACTCCAGTCCTAGTGTGGGGAGTCAGGGTGGGGGAACAGGTGTGGGGTCCTGCCTCCTCCCATTCTCTAGAGCACAGGAGAAATGTGTGTGTGTGTGTGTGTGTGTGTGTGTGTGTGTGTGTATGCGGTGGGGGACAGTGGCCCCCTGTTCTTTGGTCTCCCTGACCCTCTGGTGTCTGAGGACAAGCCCTTTGACAGGCAGATGGCGTTTTGTTTATGTGTTGTGTGTAAGGACATTCGGCCAGGGGTGTGGCAGGGACGGGTGACCAGCACTGGCATGATGAGTCTCCCTCTGGGGGTGTCCAGAGGGGCTGTGAGGGATGGAGGAGACGTCTTCTGGCCCATGGTCACGTATGCCCCGGTGTCCAGTCCCTCTCGAAGCTTGCCTCCCTCTGTCTCAGCCGCCTCTGAGACTCACAGAATTATTAGGGTCTTTGAGTCCCTTCTGCCAGCCAGGAGGCAAGAGCTCTCTGTTTGAAGGGTCTTCTCCTTCCTTACCGCCGGGCCCTGCAAGTGGGAGATGGGTCAGGGACTGAAGCAGGTTGGTCCCAGGTCTGGAAATTCCTTCTTTAAGAGCAGGTTTTGTGTGGAGCTTCCTTATGACTCACCCTTGCTGAGGCCCAGGAGAGCTCAGGGTTGGACCAGGGTGAGGCCAGCGAGATGTCCTGGGCCCCACATTTAAGGAGGTGCTTGCCCTCGGGTGCTTGTCATGCTCCTCTCCACCCTCGGGGCTGAGGTTTCTTGCCTGCATCCACTCCTCCAAGCCGAGAAAGAGCTTGGGCTACGGTTGAGTTGGCCCAGGGACCTACAGAGCTGAAATAAACACCAGGGGAGGGCAGGTGGGCAGTGTTCAGGCCTGAGAGGTTGACTGGCTCTCATCTTGGCAGAAGTGAGCTGGAGTGGGCTCGCTGCCACGCTGGCAGCTTGGAGCCGCTCCCTCCCTCTGCCCTCCGCTCCCTCCACTGCACCCCCCCACCCCGCAAGGCTGGAGAAGGGGCTCTGGGGAGTGGTCCACAGCCCCAACCTTCCCCACCTCCTGGGCAGATGATCACCCCAGGCCTCTGAGCTGACTGGGTTGATTCAGCCCCTGAAACACATTTGGGAAGAGCAAAGCTGTGGGAAGCCCCCTGTGTGTGTATGTGTGTGTGTACACACGCATGTGTGCACAGGATGGCAAGCCAGACCCAGCCTGGCTAATTTTAGCTGCTGTGTCCAGTCCTGGGCGAGGGGTTTCCATTGGAATCCCCAGCTGTCCCGATTTCCCCATCCAGCTCTAATTAGCAACGTGCCGACTGGGAGGGGACTTGAGCTCACATTCTGTTCTCTGCGCTCGTATTTTTAACTCTGTTTTGCAAACAGAGAATGCTCGGTCACTCCAGTCCTAGTGTGGGGAGTCAGGGTGGGGGAACAGGTGTGGGGTCCTGCCTCCTCCCATTCTCTAGAGCACAGGAGAAATGTGTGTGTGTGTGTGTGTGTGTGTGTGTGTGTGTGTGTATGCGGTGGGGGACAGTGGCCCCCTGTTCTTTGGTCTCCCTGACCCTCTGGTGTCTGAGGACAAGCCCTTTGACAGGCAGATGGCGTTTTGTTTATGTGTTGTGTGTAAGGACATTCGGCCAGGGGTGTGGCAGGGACGGGCTGAGAGAAGCTGGTTTAGGAATGTTCCATTTTATTTTTGGTGTCATCTCCACCTCTTGCTGTCTGGTCTTGTCATTCATTCGCCTCCACCACCTCCTCCTTCTCCTCGCCTACCCACCGCCACGGGGAATTTCTGCTGACCCTGAACAAGTGACATGCCATCTCCAGGTGTGGGTTTCCTTGCTGGTGAAGGGAAGAGAGGGTTTCTTGTGGGCATCACCCTCAATGCCCAGTGCTCGGGGAGGTGGAGAGAGACGGGGAAGGGAGGAAAGATGAGCTTGCTCTCCTGGGTGTTTCTCCAAGGCCTGGGGTTCCTCCTCCTTCCCACTCACACCTGTCTCCTGTCTCCTGCCCCTGCAGGCTCTTCGGTTTCGTGGCCCGGAAGCAGGGCAGCACCACGGACAACGCCTGCCACCTCTTTGCTGAGCTTGACCCCAACCAGCCGGCCTCCGCCATCGTCAACTTTGTCTCCAAGGTCATGCTGAGTGCCGGCCAGAAGAGATGAGCCCCTGCCACCCCTTGCCCAGGGCCAGGGCAGTGGGGATGGGGCATATGGGGAGGGGACCCATGAATCCTGACCATCCTTGAACCCAGAAGGAGGACTTTGGGCCATTTTGGAGAAGGAGAGAAGAAAGTGTCACGTGGGGAGAGGAAAGTGAATTGAGCGGGGAGGGGGAGAGAGAGAGGAAGAAAGAAGGAGATGGAGGAGAATAACTCAGATTCCCCTGGGGAGATGGATACTGCGAAACCCCCAGAGCCTCCAAAACTCACCAGGTCCACCTAAGTCCCCCTCCACCCTCTGATGGGGCTCCTCAGGGGAGACAGGACTGGTCTCCTTGGAGACCCACATTTTGAATGAAAATGGAAAAGCTCTTTCTCCCTAACCCAACTGCTTTGCAAGGAGAAATCCCATGGAGAATCTTTCTCTAGCCACCTCTGGGGTAGATCACCAAACCAAAAAGAGCCCGCATGGGACGTCCAGCGGCAGAACTTTTGCTTCTGAAAGTATCTCAGACCCCAGGCACCTAAGGTCTCTTTGCTTTGCCTCTGATGTACAGTTTGTGGGTGTGTTTCTGGGGTGTATATATGGCCATGCCCACATCCTCACTCACTGATTTCTGTTTGCCTCTCAGCTAGAATTATAAACAGGTATACTTGTCCTCTGTGTTTGCACACACATGTGCACACCGTCCAAAGCAAGAAAGAGTCAGGGATGGGGTGACAGGGCATCAAGGAGGGGGTGTAAGTCCACTTCCCCAGGGGCACCTGGCATTGTAGGTAATGGACTTTCCTGGTCCCTGTACCTGCTCTAACAGCCTTCGGGGCCGCCAGCCCTTTCTCCTCAGCAGAGACCCCCATGGAGTGGGGCTGGCCACGCTGCAGCGTTCCCCCTGACCTGCTGGCATCTGGAGGCTGGGGCATTGGTTTGAGGAGATGAGGACAGATGTGTCCAGGGCTTTGGGGGAGAGACCCCTCAGGAAGGGTGGCTGCCCAGCTCGGGGAGCCTTTTCCGAGGCGTGTGGCCCAGCCTCGGGGCAGGCAGGGGGCTCCCGTCGCTTCCAGTCCTCAGCCCAATCTTGGCTTTCGTGTCCCAGATCAGCCGTTCTCAGATGTGCCCCGTGTTCAGGATGCCTTTAGGGTGCTGCGGAACGAGCCTTCCTGCCCCGCCCTGTTCTGTCCTGCAGGGTCCCTGTGTTGGGGCTCATCCCGGGACCTGCTTCTGGAAGCCCTGCTTGGCGAGACCCAGGGGAGACCCCTGTAGTTCCTGTGCCCCCTCTGTAAGGGTTTGGGGGTCTAATTTTGCTGGGCTGCCCAGGGGAGCTGGCCAGAGCTCTGGGGGCTGCTTGCTGCACACCACATGGCCTGCTCTGACACTAAAGCCTTGCTCCCCACCCTTCTCCTTTGTTTCTCCCCCAAAGCCCAGCTGCCGTGGACCAGAGGGCAGAAGGCACACATTTAGGTCGAAGGGCTGAGAGTCCAGCTGGGCACCTGGGAACCCCCTGACCACCACCCAAGCACTCTAAGCCGGATGGAAGAATCCACCAGGACTCCATCCTTGAGTAGATTCTTAAGCCTCTGGGTTCCCTAGAGAGAGGCACTGTACTGATATATAAATATATATAATATATATGTGAGACATACTGACAGAATCTGTAAGCTAATAAAATATAAGAAAAGGTTAAAAAAAAAAAGAATAGGCAAATTGACAAGAAGTATTTATTATTTTCCCATACTGCTTTGTTGCCTCCGCGGCATAATCCAATCCCCATCCCTCTCTGTGTTCCAAGCGAAGCCTCAGAGGTCAGGGCCTTCATCCTTGGAGCTATCAGGGGTCTCCTTGAACAGGCCTTGGCCTTCCCTAGACTCTGATGGGGGCTCAGCAGAGAGGGGGTGCATGCGTTTCACCCCCTCCATCCCTTCTCATTTTTGGCAAGCCCAGGCCTGGCTGTCAGACCCCAGAGATGACGGGGGAGCTGCCCGCCTCCTTGCGGGCCGTGCAAGGGCAGGTGCATGAGCCTGCACACGGGTGTGCGTGGTGGGCGTGGGTGACGTGTGCATTTGTAGTTTTTCTTTTCCAAGAAGCTGTATCTGTGTGGACGTTCTGTTTCAGGGAGTTGGAAAGGAGAGCGTCTGAAGGTGGCGGGGAGCGTCCCTCTACCACCTCACTTTCCAAAGATGGAAACCTTGATTTTGGTGACCAAGGTTCATCCTAGGGGCTCTTCCTTCTGAGGCCTTCAAGCCAGACACCCCGATTTCCCCTCTTTCATTCCCTGCCTAACCCCAACTGTCTTCCCAGGCAAAAGAGGATATTTCCACCTTCCTTTGTAAATCTCCCACTGGACTGCCCGGGGACTTTTTTCCTCCTGGTCTGAATGGCCGGGCGGAGCGTGAGACCCCTCACACGTGCTTTTCCACCACCCACCAGCAGCCCACCACCAAGAATGACCAGCCAGACCCCACCCCACTCAGGCCTGGACCGTGTGCGACTCTGGGAAGGCCCCAGGAGATGCTGGAAAGCCGATCCACCCCCTGCCCCACATGCTTCTGGAGGGAGCCAGTTTCCTAGCATGTGGCCTGTCCAGAAGAACGATGGGGAAGGGTTACCCCAATCCACACCACAGCCTCACCTGTGGGTCGGACAGCGCTTGGGAAGACACTGTAACCCTCCGTGTCTCACAGGTTAGGCCCGTGCACCCTGCACCCGTGCACACACCACGCACGCGCACACACACACACCACACCATAGCATTGCAGTATGTTCTTGCCAAAGATTTCCTTTAAAAGAAAGAAGCACTTTTAATAATTATTGTTATTGTTGTGTAAATGTTTATCCTTTTTTCTCCCCACTCCTCCCCCTCAATCTTCCTTGCTGTTGTTTATTGTTGAATCTGTTTGTCAGCCAGGAGAGTGCCCTTTCTGGTCTTGAAAGTGGGCTGGGGAGCGGGGGATGGGAAAGGGGATGGGAGGCGTAGGCAGGAGGCCCTGGTCAGCTTGGAAGGCAGGGACAGAGACCCCAGGCAGGCTCGGGCTGCAGCCCAACCTGCATCTTGTTGTGCAGCCAGCCCTCTGAGGCAGTGGGGGCCTCGCGGTAGCTGTCCTGTATGTATCTGGCGGGGGAGGGGGTAGGGCAGTGAAGTGACAGCCCTCCCGTTCAGCAGGGACAGAGGCCCAGCCAGGTTCAGGAGGTCCTTCCCAGATGGAGCCAGAGGGGAAGACTGGGCGTGGGAACAGGGGAGAGGTGACCTCAGAGGGGAAGTGGGGAGGAAGGGAGCTGCTGGATGGAGTTCCAGGGGTGAGTGATGCCCCTGCCCTGCGATTGATCGTGGTGTTCTGGCTGCCAGCCAGGTGTTCCAGAGACAGAGACTTTGTGTCCTAGATTTGGGAAAGGCCTTTTGACCCAGGGCCTCATTGGAAGTTCTCCCACAGCAGTTCCAGATGCTTGTGGACTGCCAGAATTCCTTCTCCCCTGGCAGGGTTTGGAGGGATCCCTGGGTGTGTCAGAGATGGACAGGATAGGGGTGGGGGCCCCGTGGCTGCGTGACTATAAGGGGGAGCTGGTGGAACAGATGTGATTCTCTGAAAGGGGGTCCCAGGAGGGAGATGGGCTGGGCATTCTTCTGGCCACTCAGATGGGCTGAGCAGAGGTTGGGCAGACCCCCCACACCACCCAGGGGCCTGTGGACAAGTCTGTGCCTAGAACGGTGTCTGCTCCCTTTTCCTGTGTTGTCGCCAGCCCTGCCTCCTGGGCCTTCTCTCCTGCTTTGGGCTTTTCCAGCTTCAGAATCTGGGGGAGGCAAGGGGGCCAATGTCTTTTCTAAGGCTTCCTGCTGCCTCTCCATCTCCCCACCCTTGGGGTCCTGGGAGAGGCTGGGGGGCGGGCAGCATCCTGGGGCCACTCCTCACCCGAGTCCAGGCCCCGGCATCCTGAGACTGGAGTGCCCTGGGCAGTGGTAACACAGAAAGTGTGTGCGCGCGTGTGCAAGTGTGGGTGTGTGTGTGTGCGCGTATTTTGCTTGTCTCTTTAGGGAACTTCGGAGTTGGGTTGGAGGTGGTGGGCAATGGGTTGTCAAGTTCACTATCACCCAGTGGCAAAAGGAATCGGGAAGCGAGGCTTGTAGGGTCCCCCGACCGGGGGAATCCCAGCGTCAGTGGCAATGGGGGTCAACCTCACAGCGGTGCTCCTCTGTCCTCAGATGGCCGGAATGTTGGAGGGCCTCTGTTTGCTTCCCACACCTGGGCGCTTCCCAGCGGCAAGGTTAATTGTAGAGAGACAGCCCACTTTTGTTTCTAATCAGTGTTCAGCAGCTGGAGACTCCTCTGCGTGCCCACGTGTGGTTCGTGTCTGTGTGAGAGAGAGCATGTGTGTGCGGGCATGCTGTTTCCCCACCTCTCTCCTCTCTGACATGCCATTCAAAACAAATGTAAGGAATTCCTTACCCCGACTCCTGCCCCTGCCTCCCAGACCCTCTGCAGGAAAAACCCAGCATCCTCCCGTTCCTCTGGCTGTGTATTTATATAGATGGAAATATACTTTCTATTTTGTATCTTTGTGCCTGTAACCTCTGTCACCTTGTATAAACCCTGATGTACGCGACTTATCCTGGATATGAATGTATTGTACACTGAAGCTGTTCCACTCCTGTACAATGCTCTGTTTCTTGGCGATCCATTGTATGGCTTTATAAATGATAAAGTGAAAGAAAAATCTGTGTGTCGTTAACTAGCTCTGTTGTTGAGAAAGGGGATCTGTTGCGTCTCCAGTGGGCAAAAGAGTGTCCCACCCAGGCTCCGGAACTGTGGTGGGCTTCGGGGATGCTGCTGGGGGATGACTCACCCCAAGCTCTCCCAGAACTTCCCCACCAGCCAGGTCTTGGATCTGATTACAATGAGTTTTTCAGACTGTTAGCTAGAAGAGAAACTCAACTCAAACTAATTTAAAGGAAAAGGCATTTAATGGCACACATGACCAAGAAGTCCAAGCACAGCTGAATCCAGGTACTCAAATGGTAGAAGCAGGAATTTGTTTCCAAATTTGGATTAATTCTCAGGCAACCTCTCTCCCAGGGGTGGTACCATCAGATGCTCTAGAATATGGCCCCTCAAGGCCCCAGGCTTTTATCCTACCAGTGAAAAGAGAGCTCTTTTCTCCCAGTGTTTTCAACGACAACTTGGGACAAATGCTCACTGGCTCTGATAGACCCTGACTGGGTCACGTAACTAGTTCTGAACCAAACTCTCCGGCTGGGTCTGGGTCACGTGGCTGTCTTTGGAGCCTTCTGAACCACTGGGGCTGAGAATGGGGTAGTGCTGGTCCCTGAAGGGGCGAGGTTTATCAGAGGATGGGGGAGCAGAGGCTGCTAGGAACACCTCTGGCTGCCGATTAGACAGCAGGTGTGTATCTCACTTGGACACCCAGCCTCGTGATCCTGGGCTGGGTAAATTCTCCGCAATTCAGAAGGTTTGCAGTAAGGCATGCTAGCACAGTGCAGCATTCCTTGGGAGATCTCAGAGACTCATACAGAACATCAACTGCAGGTCCCTGTTGAGTTGATTTGAGCTTGGATGAGCTGATTTGGGCGAGTGTGTGCTGAGACCCCCATGTGGCCAGCGTAGTGAGGACCATGACACACGGCAGCCTTCTCAAACTCTTTGGTCTAACGACTCATTTACATTTTAAAAAGTTACTGAGGAAGACTTCCCTGGTGGCTCACTGGTCAAGAATCCACCTGCCAATGCAGGAGACACAGGTTCGATTCCTGGTCCAGGAAGATTCCACAAGCTGTGGGATAACTAAGCCCATACACCCCAACTACTGAGCCCACGTGCCTTAGAGCCTGTGTTCTGCCACGAGAGAAGCCACTGCAATGAGAATCTCACACACTGAAGCTAGAGAGTAGCTCCTGCTTGCTGCAACTAGAGAAAGCCCGTGTGCAGCAGTGAAGACCCAGTGCGGCCATAAATAAATAAACAATTAAAAAAAAAAATCACTGAGGACCTCAAAGAACTTCTGTTCACATGGATTATCTCTTTCTATAGTTGCCATATTATGAGTTAAAACTGAAAACATTTAAAAATGTTTATTCACTTCCACAGCAATTTTAAACTTACCACATGTTCACATAAACAACATTTTTATGAAAAGTGATATTCTCTAAAACTAAATGGATTGAGTGAGAAGGAAGACACTGTTAGCATTTCTGAAAAGTCTCTTTCATGCCTGGCTTTGCAGAAGCCAGCTGGACTCTCCTATCTACTCCTGTACTCCCTGGGTTGTGATATTACACATGCCGCGCCTCTGGAAAACTCTACCATACACTCGTGGGAAAGGACAGTGAAAAAGACAAGGAACAACTTAATTATTAAGAAATTACCTTTGATAGTTTTGACTTTACAAAACCTCTGAAAGGGTCTCAGGAGATCCTTGAGGTCCCAGACTAGACTTCGAGAACTGCCGCTCTCGGGGATGAGGACATGTGGGCACACAGACATCCTGCCCGTGATGGGGGATTAACACGTACTGCACCGCTACCCCGTGCTAGGCTTCATCCTGTCTGGTCTTCCCAAAGGACCCAAGAGGCAGGGGTTGTCACACTCAAGCACAAAACAAGGAAACTGAGGCTGTGAGAGGTCACATTGCTTCTAACTGGGCAGAGCTGATGCTTGTCACTGCTGGGGACGGCCGGCATTTAGCACACCTGCGAAGTGTGTGAGCATCGTGTGCATTTTCTCATGGGCATGCACCCAGTGAGATAAGGGCTGTGTCCTTGTCTTCACTTTACAGAGAAAGAAACAGGTTCACGGGGGTTCAGAGAAACCACAACGTTGCCAAGTAGCAGAGCCAGGTTAAGAAGCCAGGGAGCTGACCTCCTAGCTCACACCTCTTCCTCTGCTCAGGGTTCGCATCGGAAGGAAAAGACAGAAAACACGACTGATGAGCAAAGGGCAGGCAGGAGAGTAAATCGATGGCATTGCTCAGGCGGGAGGGGGTCAAGGGCTGGGCAGTTGCGGCGGCTTCCTGGGGAGTGGTCCAGGGCTGCTGGTGTGTGATGGAGGGCACCTTCTGATGCTACCCAGCTATGGAGCCATGTGGGTACCCGAGGCTGGGCCTGGTACAGGGGACGAGAACCAGGCTTGTGCACCTGGCTGATCTAGCCTGGCTTGGAGGGAACTAAACAGTGAAGCAGGGTGCTCCTGGGGCCCTGAGGAGGGAAAAGGGCTGCAGTTGCGGGAGGCGGTGGAGGTGACTGCTTATGACCCAGCTTAGTACACAGAAAACCTAAAGGACTTTCTCACCTTTTAAAAAAATTTTTTTTAATGTTTTTTGAACTTTTAATTTTGTATCAGGGGCTAGCCGATTCACAACATTGTGATAGTCTCAAGTGAACAGCCAAGGGACTCTGCCATACAAATACATGTATCCATTCTCCCTCAAACCCCCCTCCTATCCAGGCTGCCACGTAACATGGAACAGAATTCTAAAAATCTTCTCATTTCTTGTAAAAAGTGTGGCCCACGCTCGGTCAGCCTAAGCATCATCTGGGAGCTTATTAGAAGGGTGGGAGCTCTTAGTCCCACCTCAGACCTGCAGACCAGAATCTTCCTGTTAACAAGACTCCCAGGAAGTCTGCACAGCCACTGAAGTCTGAGCAGTCTGGGCAGGTAACACACAGCTGGGACTCGACCCCAGGGCCTGAGACAGGGAGCCCAGGCCTTGCCTCGGCGGCGCCTCCTGAAACGTCAGGACTGCAGTGCTCCTGTCTGCGTCTCCACAGGGCTGAGTCACCCTAGGCCTCACCCTGGGGCCTGCTCTGCTGATGGGATTCTGGAGTCCCTGCAGAGACCGGGCCCTTTTAGGGGTGAGGCCCGGTCCTGGAGAGCAGGAACTCCTGTTTCAGCAGACGGTGTAGGGAGTGAGCAGAGTATGACCCGGGAAGGGCAGAAATATTAGCTGAGGGGAGGGCAGGAGGGGCAGGGAGTGGGGCTGGGGGCTGGAAGTGAGGAGTCTCATATTCAGTGTCAGACTGGGCTGAAAAGGAGCAGAGCCTGGGTCCCACCCAGAGGGTGAGTCAACTGGTCTGAGGTCCAGCTGGGGTGCTGGGGGGGGGGGTCTTCCATCNGGGGGGGGGGGGGGGTCTTCCATCTCTCCCCAGGGATTCGACAGGCAGCACTCCTTAGGTGGACTCTTCCACGGCAGGTGTGTGTGCACTGGGGATGGGTGGGGAGGAGAGCAGAGTGGGGAGAAGTCCCCCCTAGATGGAGGTGGGCTTCCCACGGTCAGCCTTTCCCCACATCCCTCCTCCTTGGGGAAGAATGCCATCCAAGTGTCCCTCCCCTGCACCCAGGCTGGGCTGTACCCAGCCCTCCTAAGGGCTGGTCTCTGGAGGGGATGTGCCCTCTAGGGCCCATAGACAGACAATGATGGGGAGGGAAGGTGCCTGGAGAATCGAAATCCAGGAGCTCTGGAGTTCCTCCTCACAGGTACCCCGCCAGGCTCCTCTGTCCAGGAGATCCGTTAGGCAAGAATACTGGAGTGGGTTGTCATGCCCTCCTCCAGGGGATCTTCCTGGCCCAGGGATCAAAACCTCATCTCTTGTGGCTCCTGCATTGCAAGCAGATTCTTTGCCGCGGAGACACCGGGCAAGCCCAGATCAAAGTTGACCTTCTTTTCAAGAACTAGATTTCCCTCATTAATTGGTGAAAATGACTATTAGTCTCAACAGTTTCTAAGTAGTTCAAATTGTGGAAAGGATACACTGCTTCTAAAAGCACTGACAGTAAGTGTAGGAATACACACACACACACACACACACACACTTCATAGACTTGGCCCCTTGGGCTGTGCTGAGTCTCCATGGAAGGCATCTCTGTTCCTTCCTTCTTCTTTCCAACTCTCTAGTGAGCGTTCAGGCCCAGGGGTACCAGGCCAGCGATGGGCCAGGGCCGCCCCCACCGTGAGCCCACCCTTATCTGTGCTAATTAGCAGAGTGGCATAATCAGAGAGGGGAGAGAACACCCCCCACCCCCGGGAGTTCTGCAGGTCAGACCCACTGGAGGGCCGGGTGCACACCGCACATGGCCCCTGAGAGAGCTGCAGCAGGCGGAGGGGGACCCGGCGAGGAGAAGAGCTCGGCTTGGAGCGTGAGGAGGAGAGGGTCAGCCCTCTCTGGGCGTCGCAGTGTCATAGGTGAGGGTCGCAGGAAGGTCAGGGGAGAGAGGGCTGCTGGTAAGGGAAAGGATGCTTTGGGAGGGCAGAGGTCCGGGATCCTGCGAGTGCGAGGACTGCAGGGGGCCCCCTCCCAGTCTCCATCTCCAGCCAGGCTGCGGGCTTAGCCTGGGAGCGCCCCCTCTTCCGGCCGGAGGCGGTAGTGCAGGTGTGGCGGGGCCCTGTAGCCGCCGATGAACCGCCGAACGCCTGCTGGTCTCAGAGTCAGGCTCGGCTGGGTTTGGTTCCAGCTTTGCTGGGATCTCAGGGAGGTTTTTTCCCCTCCTTTGGGCCCCAGTTTCCTCATCTGTAAAATGGGCTAGCACCTTCTCCAGAGGCGTGAGGACTGAGACTGTGTGTGACGTGGAGCATGTTCCTGGGTCTGCTACTGGGGTGCTGGCCCTCCAGGAATATGCGCTTTCCCCCGCCTTTTCTCCTGCCTCTTGCCTCCTCCACACATTTCCTCAGGGCTCTGGGGAGACTTGGCAGCAGAGAGGACTTGTAG